GTCGATAAAAAATACCTATCAAACAACATCCCTTCCCTATTATAACGGTCCGGCCGCGCCAGCACTATTGAAAGTGCAGAATTGCTCCGTAGCGCCGCACTATAGACGCCATTCACTCCCTGACTCCCTGACTCATTGTGGTAATGCTTGCGGGGAACACTACAAATAAAAAAGGAGAGATCAGAAACTGTAGTTTGAATTACTTTTACGGAGTTATAAAGTGAAATGTATTTTATTTGAGCATTTTAGATTATTAATACGTTGTATTTTAAGAAACGTCTTGTTTCATTTATCTACTAGATTTCGCTCGCGCATTCACGTGTAATTAAAAAAAAAGTCCGTCTAGACTTTAGCAAGTACTAAGACGATTACTACTACTACACCGTTCAGTATGAAGGAAGACTTAAAAATTCACTACATAAAGTAATGATTAAAATCAGTGTAAAAATAATCCAAAACTGTTGTAAAACATTTGTAATTAATGATTTGGCTTTGCACAATAAACGTGGAACTAAACCGATGTCGCATACAAACAATGTATTTCTGTAATACCGTGTAATTGCGAAGCGGTTTTTTGCTGCATTACGGAAAATTACGATTACATTGTGAGAATATGAAAAGGTTCATGACATAGTAATTGCGTGTTCAACGCTTAGAAAAAGCTCTCACTAAATGATATTTAAGTTTTCCTTTTATACGTGTATTTTAAATTACTACGTTTATATGCAAAAAAGTCTATAAATAGTAAAGAAATATTTATTGTTATATTATAAGTAATTTAATGGTTGTTTAACTTTTAAGGTTCCCCTTAGTGAACCCTTAGTGACTTAGTTCAGTAAAATAGAGGCGTAATCTCAGATAGTTGTGCGCTTAAGTTAGCCAAGAGACAGGGTTGAAATTAAAAACTAGGGTCCTACAAATAGTAATCAAAGCCTTGGCTTTGCAAGTGATAACCATAATGAAAGGGTGCGTTTGTGTCTCCCTTTTCGAATCCAAGTGTGATGTAAAATTGCCAGACATCTAGTATTTACGAAAAAAATGTTTCCATTTCTCAATACGCGAATACCTTTCAGAATTTCTATCTTTGTATTTGTATTGCAAAATAGCAATTAATACCACCGTAGATCCATTATATACACCATTGTGATTCTTATCAATGGCCCTTGACTTATAAGTTTTATGTTAACTGAATGAACAATGAATTTGAACGTTATTGTAAAGTTAAATAATTACTTTTATAAATCACTAGCTTTCGCCCGTGACTCCGTTGGCGTGGAATTAAAAAAAATGAATAGCTTGTGTTCTTCCAGACTATCTTCTACATCTATGCCAAATTTCATCGAAATCCGTGCAGTCGTTTAGGATACAAACTATAACAAACATCCATCCATCCATCTATCTAAACTTTCACATTTATAATATTAGTGAGATTTCAAAATTATCTATCATTTTAGATACGTTGTAACAGAAGTACAGTTAAAGAATTAAATTCGGTTGCCACTTATAGTAATGTCTGGAAAACTGTCGCCATGAGAGCCTTAACTCATATGTTGTGTCAAGTTTTCTACCAAATTGTGAATATCAAATGACGTAACACCGAAATGGTTAGTAATACATTTTTGGCTGTAATACAGACTCCAATATTAAACATATCTTTTAATGACATCGGGGATTAAAGGTGAGAAGTTTTGTTGCTTCAAAGCATATTATTTATACAACGAAATCTTACACTTTGGTTACAAGCAGTAAATCGTAGTATGCCGTTAACACGACGTTCACAAATATCTCAATAAAGAGAGGAATTTGTTCTCAGCATGGACGAAGTGAACGTGAGACAGATGGGTCAATGAACTCGACTATCACTTTACCTTACAAACGCAATACTATTTCTGTGGTTTGTTTTGTTTTACAAGGATAAGGTTCAAAGAAAACATGTAAAAAAATATGTATATAATAATGGTAATAGTAGATTAATCGAAACTAAAGTTTAGTCACACTATATCTACACTGAAACCCTCACTCAGTTGTCTTTAAACTAACTCTGAGTGTAGTAATTAGATCGTATTAGAGTAACAGTAAATACAACTACGCTTCTTTCTAGTTATAGATAGATAAACTGAATCAATAATACTTTCATGCTAATATTATAAATGCGACAGTTTAGATGGATGGATGGATGTTTGTTAAAATTTGTAGCCGAAACGGCTGAACGGGTTGCGTTTAAATTTGGTATAGATGTAGAGATTAGTCTAGAAGAACACATAGGCTACTCACTTTTGTTTTTTTAAATACCACGGGGACGGAGTCGCGGGCGAAATCTAGTCAATAACAAAGCACAAAATTGTGTAATTTATTTTGTAATTTAATATATAAATTAAGTACTGTTAAAAACTAAAATATTTATCTATACAAAAAGATGTTTGTAAAATATAGTGTATAATTATTGGAATGGTCGTGTGTCCTTTTTATTAATGAAAAATATTTATTTCTAGAATTTGCAAACTTTAGTACTGTTTATTATAATCAATCTTGTTTGATTAATATTCCAATTAAGTTTAGTTTAACGGATTGTGGGAATAGTCAACCTTTAGTGTTTTCCCATAGAATAATAAAGCCTAATTTGTAATTATAAATATATACTAATGTAAGAGGAAAGAATTGTATTTTTGTATGTATTGAAATAACTTAAAAACTACTGGGCCGAATTTAAAAATTCTTTCACCGCTAGAAAGGTAATTTATCTATGACTAACATAGGCTACATTTAATTTCATGCGGGCGAAGTAGCAAGCAACAGCTAGTTATTAATATAATCGTATAAATTATTAAATAGATTTTAAACTAACAGTGTCGAATAATAAACTTAATAAATTAAAAATACAAACAATTTGTATCAGTTTTTAAGAATATTTTTTTAAATTCGACAATGCCAATATTTTTACCCGCGCGTTTAACTAGCTTTACGGTTACGTAACACCGTAAATTATACCCGGAATATTGGTATCGGTTACTTAAGTATTTCTAATAGCTTTTCCCGTGCGGCTTCATCCACATAAAATTAAGAAAATTTATTGCATTGTTTACATTTGTCAAATTATTAATAGCAAATGTCAAAATGACGTGACATGACATAACAAACCTTAGCATTCTTGCTTTCTTGATGATGGCAGCAACTTATGGTCTCTTTCCCACATTAGAGTTTTTATCCAAAACATTTACCCTCTAAGTTAATTGGCGGGAAAACATACAGCCTAAAGCTTGACATAAGTGTAGGGCTTTTCATTAAAGAAAGAATTATTCAAAAATATACTGTAATTGCTGACATCTTAGGCAACAAAGAAGTGTGTGTTTGCGCTTTATTATAATAGTGTAGATTTCAAGAAGTATAATGAAGACAAGAAAATGAGCTAAAAAGTGTACAATTGTATCGGTATGTGGTGAAACCGCACACGCAACACGCTCTGTTAATTGGTGACGCGGTACAAGTAGGTTTGCTTAACATTTCACTAATACAGTTTTAAAAAAGTATTAAATGAAAATATTCGAACATTACCCATCTCTACTAACATTATAAGGAAGGATTTCTATTTTTGCATGTATCGGAATAACTCAAAAACTAATGGGCCGATTTCAAAAATTCTTTCACCATTAAAAAGCTACATTATCAGTCAGTAACATAGGTTATGGTTTTTATTATTTGTTTAATTTCACGCGGACGAAGTCGCGAGCAACAGCTAGTTAGATTAGAAATATTATAACGTATTTTTTAACGAGTTTATTGCTAACTTCAATTGATATTATAAAATAGAGAGATTTTTATTAGTAAACATTTTTTGAGTTAAATTTTAAAGTCCATTTGTACTTTCTTAATTTCAAGTATTCCATTTTCAAAAATCTGTGTCGCTTTTAAGTTTTATATTACATCAATTTTAAAGGAATGTTATACAATTCTATTATATACCAGATGGTGAGCGGTAAACGATCGAGTTTGCTGAATATTACGAAATTGTGCCTACTGTTACTTGTTTATTTAATTCTGTGAATTATATTGCATCGTAAACTAGGGTTGTACGAAAAAAAGATTCACGTTAAACACAAACTTTTGTGTTATCGCTTAATACAAAAATATTCTTTCACGGAATACTATACAATGTCTACCATATGGTAAAAGATTAATATGTTTCTGAGCTACTTTTTTTGAACAAACTTCGTCTCAAAATATCTCTAAGAACAGTATAAGTTTCACTGTAAGAATCATAAAAATTACAAATAATTTTAAGGTAATTTTTTTTAGAACCTAATCATAACGTTACTTATAAACAAAATTTCAATATAAAGTTAAAAAATAAAGACTACAAAACAATTAGCAATAATGTTGGTCAAAACAACGGATGGTCGCATCTAACTTTCACGATTCACGTGTCAAGGCTACAGCTATAGGAATGATATCGTGCCTCAAATCTATTGTGAGCTCGGCAGCAGTTTGTGGGTGAAGGATGAAGGATGGCCGGCTAGATCTTGATTGTATACAATTATTTCCATTGTCATGCAATCTGTCACTAATGGACTTCACTAGGTCGGTAGCTCGGCTAATGATGGTCTCTGAATGCACATTAACTATGTTTTATAAATAAAATGCAAGAAATCCATTCGTAAGCATTGAATGCTATGGTTTAGGATACACAGATATTCTGAGACATTAAATTAAATGGGTTCCCGAATGTAATACATCAAATATTGGATTAGGATTAATAACTCCACACTCAAATCTACATTGGTGTAGAAAGATTTTGAAATATCGATTAAATAGTGCTTTATAGACCGAAGAAAGTATGAATTGTGTGAAAGAGGATATGCTTAAGAAAGGAGTGGATTCAGATATGACGGCTGATAGAGATAGAAGAGCAGCACATACTGTGCTGACTTTCCATAAGGGTTAAGGGCAGTTGATGATGCTTTAATAGTGCCTTATATAATGTTTTGTATCTTTGTTCGTTTCAGGGAGTGCGAGGAAAGCGACGACGCAAAGCAGTGCAAACACGACGAGAGATTCACAGCTGTTGTCACTTCTTGCTGCCAGGCGGCGACAGCTGCTCGGAGGGAGGCTGACTACACACATCAATACCTTAGCTACACTGGCACATAAACCCTACAAGTTAGTATCAATTATTATAGTAACATTTTAATTTTATTATCTAGTATCAACATAGACTAATCATTATAATTTATTTTCCAGAGGGAATACAACATTTGCGCAGCTGGAAATTCGCAACTCGAACAGTTCCATTTTGAAAAGGATTACATTCGATAACTCGAGTAACGAAATATCTCCGACTTTAAGATTAGTTTCTACTGATGGCGGGAGGGAAATACGACAAGATGTGAAACCACACGAAATTCGGCATTTATTTATTCCAAGGATATACCAAGATAACAAAAACAGAGCTGGATTTATAAATAATAGAAGGAAAGATTTGTTTAATATCAACAAAACTATTTTAATTTCCATATCAACTACACAAAGTAGTATAGTTTATGTGCCACCGGATAAAATAGAAGGTTCAGAAAAGGATGATTTAGATCCAGATGAAGAATTCCAGGTAGACGAGTCTAATCATGGCTTGTACTTACTTAATTATTCAGACACAGAAAACGTGACACAGAGCCCTAACAGTATAACCGACGGTGATACATTAAGCAAAGGTAAAGAACACACTGCACCGATTTTAGAATCCTCGACATTGTCAACAGAAAAAATCACAAGTACAACGTCAGCAAGCATTGAGCAACAAAATAAAAATAATAAACCTGAAACAAATGCAATTGCAAATAGTACAGATACTCAAAATAATAGTACCGTCAAAAACGATAGTGAAAAAGATAAAGGCAATCAAACACTATTTATGTCTGATGAAATTTATAACCACTTCAGACCGCTAGAATCAGAATTAAATGATGAGGAAATGGCACCTTTCATATTCTTCGGCCAAAAATTAGGAGGAGGTGTAATAAGTGATAACTTAACGAATTCCCCATCTTTGTCAGCGTCAACAAAATCAGTTAATTTCATAGTACCACCTCCCGAAAAAAGAAAATTCAATTCCAGATATTCTGCAACCGAACGTTATAAGAACATAAATGCAGGAGAAGATGAAATCAACGAAGATATGGATGTGTCAGTCGTCAAAAATGTTATTGAAAAGAATAAAATTAGAAATACCGTTAAAGGTCCTGCTCCAGCTCGTCCGGTTGGTTTAGTCAATGCTTATAGAAAATACTCCAGTACTACACAAACAACTACTAAACCTATAAATACAGATGAATTAAATGTCACTGAACCGATTTTGGAAAATGTCACTCCTAGTTCTGTTGATAATGGAACAAATATTTCTAATAATACGGCAAAGGATGATACAAAGAACAATACGAGTCCGATAAAAGGGACTACAACCGTCCCAACACCGAGAAACTTTACGAGAAATTATTTCAATTTGAGAAGGCGTCCATCAAAAGTAACAACAAGCACTGAAGCACTGCAAATAACTAACACGACCACGGAAAAGTCGTCGACAACTGTCTACACAGCTGTGGTCACGTCAGTTTCTATAACATCATCTATGAAAGGTCAAAATAAAACTGATGGTATAAAAGAATTCGAAAATGAAACTATTATTCCTATACCAAACGACAAAAATATAACGATACAAGAACCTGTTTCATCAAATGTAACTGAAAATATCACAGAAATAAATATCCCTACAACTAGCCCGCCTACAACAATTAAACCTTTAAGACGTAGAATTAGGATAAGAACTACTACAACTGAAAACACGTTGAATGGTATTAACTTAGGTGTATCCTTCAATCCAAATCCATTATTATCTGACTTTACTACTAAAACTTTAGATTATAAACAAGAAACGACTACTGTATCAAATTTACCTGATTTTACAAGTACGATAAGAACTAAAAATGTTTTACGAAGACGAAGACCTACAACCACTACAACTACGACCACAACAACTACAACGTTAGGACCTGTCACAATAAATAGTGAACCACTTATAACTGTATCACAGCTGCCAACAATTTTACCACCTATAACTACAACTTCACACGATGTAGAAACTACACCCAAGCCAAATATTGAAACAACTAAAACATCCCATGAATTGAAGTCTTCAGCACCAGTGCTTATCTCGAAAAATGTGGCTAAAATTACAAGTAATAGAACATCGATAAACGCGACATTAGATAATGAGAACGAAAATGAGTTACGAAACGAAGAAGTGGTTATAGAAGCGGAGAAAGTTTACACAGCGTCATATGTGCTAGCTGGACTCGGGTTTCTTCCTGTCGCAGCTGTAATAGCCTTCTTCTTACGAAACTTTTTAAATAAAAAGATAAAAGAAATCGACACGGAGTACGAAGGATATTTCGAAGATGGCGAGATCAAAAAGGAGTCGCCAATTACACCAGTTGCCCGTCCACCTCTCCCGCCTCCTAGCAAGCCTGACCAAAAGTGGGAATTTCCTAGAAACAAACTACGGTTGCAAACATTGCTTGGCGAGGGAAACTTCGGACAGGTTCGTTGATAAATAAAATCGATAAATGATGTTATAATTCTATCACATTATTTATATTGAGACAATAAATGAGTTTTAATAATTTAAGGTCTGGAAAGCGGAAGCCGATGACTTGAACGGTCATGATGGATTGACGCGACTGGTAGCTGTGAAAACAATAAAGGAAGCAGCGTCACAAAAGGAAAAGCAAGAATTACTGCATGAAATTTACATCATGCAGAAGATTGGAACACATCCGAATGTGGTTACATTGTTAGCATGTTGTACTGAACAAGGTTTGTTATTTTTTGGATTGTTTTAAAATTATCCACCAAGTAAATTATGTTTTTATGCAAATTTTAACAAAATACCCGGATTTATTTTCAACATTGTGACAGAGCCTTACCTGCTGATAATGGAGTACGTGATGTGCGGCAAGTTGCTGACATACCTGCGCGCTCGACGCTCTCGGCCTGACCGCTTCGGAGGCGGCGGTGCGCTAGCCTCGCGCGACCTTACCGTCTTCGCCTACTGCGTAGCTCGCGGCATGGACTACATCGCCTCTAAAGGGGTATGTCAACGTTGATACGTATAGTTTCAATCGACTTTATTTATTCCTCTATTTAACCCTGACATTTCCTACCGGGAATCACTGATACAGTATTATATTTATGTACGTATTGCAGATTGTTCACCGGGATCTAGCTGCTCGTAATGTACTTGTGGACCATAACAAGCTGTGCAAGATCGCGGACTTTGGCATGTCTCGATGCGCGGGTGGTGGCGCGAGGACAGCCCGCGGCGCGCTGCCCGTGCGCTGGATGGCACCTGAGGCTCTGCTCTACAACGTCTACAACCATCAGACTGATGTCTGGGCTTTTGGCATACTTCTCTGGGAGATCGTCACTTTAGGTAACTTTTATTACTAAACTTCTAATCTTCAAATAATCATACTCATAATTAAACTATAGACCACAGATAGAAAGCCCAACAGAAGCACTTGACGCCTGAAACATGTTTATTCTTAAGAGTTCACATTAATATATCAACACCTTGACCATTATCATTTAATTTCCAGGGTCAACGCCCTACGCAGCAATGTCTGGGAGAGAAGTGTTAACCGCTGTCACCGAAGGGTACCGGCTGGAGCGGCCGCCGCACTGCAAGCCGCAGCTGTACCGCGCCATGCACTCCTGCTGGCACGCCGACCCCTCGCAGAGACCCACCTTCGCGTCTCTGAAGGCGCAGTTAGCTGAGCTACTGGATAATGAACCTTCTGAAGGCAATTACGTAGACTTGGACTCTTTCTACCAAGAGTCTTCTGTGTACAGCGATCCATCGGCGATTATCAATGATGAAGACGGTCTTTCCGCAGAGTATGACAGGGAACGGCGATGTTTTAGAGAGTAAGTAGTGTTGTACAATAAAACATAAATTATGAATCAATTTCGCTACTAATACATGTTGTGACATATGGCAGTTAGTCATAGGCAAATATATCTTACATAGAAGCATAAAAAAATAAACGAAGAAGCAAGACTTTAACCAAACAATACAAAAAATCCAAATTGCAATTTCTACTTTGAAAAGTTGTACTTAAAGAGTAAATGTTAGCTTTTAACAATTTTTGATCAAAAATAAATGGTTTTAAAACAAATGTTTCAGATTGGTTCCCGGTCCTGCAAAGTTTGACAACAGAGCGTTTAATCTTCGCGACGAAGAATTAAGAAATAAATTCGGCATCGGGACACCGAGAATGGGCGGTTTCGGTATCCGAGACGCGCCTTTCAACGAAAGAAATTTTCCAGATGGGGAATTCAATGAGAGGAAATTTCCAGAAAAGAATTTCCCTGAAAGAAATTTCACCGATCAAAATTTTAACGATCCGAATTTCGCTGAACGCAAAGATGGGAAATTATCTACATCGAGTTTCCACAGGGAAAGAGAACGAGAGAATCCATTGGTCAGTAGGAACAGCTTTAACGGTTTCCCTCGTGTTGGTGGTACAAGGGAGAACCATTTTCAATTGAACCCTGATGGTCGGAATAAAAGAGTATCAGAATTTGAATGCGACATATGAACACAATAAAACTATATTGAGTTTAAATGCTGTTCTATAACGAACTTTTAAGTTTCTCCAGGATTAAGGACAAAATTTCGGAAGTCGGATTCATTAGAAATTTGAAAATTAAGTGAAAATTTTCATTGGTTAATAACTTTCTGATTTCGTGTTTTGAATATTTTTAACAGTGATAAAAAATTTTGATTATTGGTTTGTTAGCTTGATCATGACAATTTACTTAAGCCTTCGATTGCAATCGATTTCTATAACTTAAGAATTGTAAATAAATTGTTAATTTATAACAGTATTCTTTTGTGTTACATGTTTAGTATATACAATAATAATTGTAAATAAATCGTGTAATTGTGTTCTTTTGTATGATATGGGTGGTAACAAGTGATAAATATTTTTTAAAAGTGTATTAACAATTGTACATATGCACTTTATTGCAATTTACTTCTTATTCCATATATAAAAATGTTATTAAATCACTAACTTGTTTACGTCTATTTTAGATATATTTTTTGATAATTAAATATATATAGATGTTGAAATGATAACTGTTGTTCTAAATCAAAGATTTATTATGTTGGATTGTCAGAGCGTCCGTACATCTGAAACTAAACTATCGTACAACTGTTTAGTCTGACTTTGACGCCTATGAGTTTATATGGAGGTGCACACTACTCCATTTATAATTGTTCAACTAAACAGTTGAATTGGCTGCGAAACAATTGACAATCACAACAGTCGTTCGATAGATTAGTCCAAGGTGTGCGGCCGCTCTAATGGTGCTAAAGATATATGCTATCCCCATATTTTTTACATCGGGCGATATTTTAGCAACGTATATTTTTGTTTATCTTCAAACTGTATGTCTCAGTTCAACATTATTCTCTAGTCTCTAAAATTGTAATACTATTGGATTTTTACAAAATCTGATTAATTGGGTAAGATTGAAAGATTTATTTTATTATAATTATAAGGAATTCGTGAACTTTTATTTGTGTATTATTTTACCCTTCATCGCCTGATAAATTAATATAAGAAACAAACGCTTAACAAATATATTAAAAGTTTATGTGTTTAGTTAAAATTTTGTACAAGAGGGGAATAACTTTGTTTATTCAAAAACTAGATATGTGGGTTAATTATTTATTATTCAATAGAAATAAATATTACGGCTCCTTACCAAAAAATAAACGTCAAAGCAGTTTTTTTTATGACCTATATAATCAAAGCAATAACTTAAAATTTCTAATTTACATATGAATTGACCTACATTTCTATCAGGGTTAAATTAAAATTATCATCGAAATATAAAACTTTTATTTTTTTTTAAATAATACGATTTGGACACTTACTTTACGAAACAAAATTTATCTCGGCTAAGATTATTGGGAAATCATCATCATCATTGTCAGCTATAGGTCGTCCACTGCTGAACGTAGGCCTCCCCCATTGATTGCCACAATGCCCGGTCATGTGCCGCCCGCATCCAGTGCCCTCCCGTAACCTTGACCACGTCATCGGTCCATCTTGCGGGAGGCCTACCTACGTTGCGACGACATATTCGTGGCCGCCACTCCAGGACTCTTCGGCCCCATCGGCCATCCGTTCTGCTGGCAATATGGCCAGCCCATCGCCACTTAAGGTTTACAATTCTTCGGGCACTGTCGGTTACTTTGGTTCTGCAGCGGATCGCATCGTTCCTGACGCGATCTCGCAGAGAGACTCCAAACATTGCCCGCTCCATTGCCCTTTAAGTGACTTTGAGCCGCCGGATGTTGCCCGCAGTGAATGGCCACGTCTCTGTCCCGGCAACACACACTGGTCAAAAACTTTTGCGGTATGTCTTGGGACGAGAGAATTGGGAAATCACAAAGCTATAATAATATGTAACACATAAAGTCTTTTAATATAAAAAAAGTTCATGAATATTGAAATCTAATTTACTTAGTAATAGAGCGTTAAGTAACTTAATTACATCATGCCTCCTATAAAATATAATACATTAAAAGTGGCAACTCTATAAAATGCATTAAAAGCGTCGTTTTCATATTCTATTATACAAAATGCATATTACATAAAAAAATTACGTCACACAATCGACTGCAACTAATGGATATAATTGTTAGATAACTAAACATCCCGAAACATATTGTATTAAAACACGAATCTTTCTTAGTAATAGTCAATCAGTATCGATTCAAATACTCATAAAAAGAACTACGAAATCATTTTCGACATGTTTATAGTATTCCAACCTTATTACTATAGGATTAAGATTCTTTTTTGTTAAAAAAGTGAGATAAAAATAGTCATCGACTTCATCAAAACTCCGTAACAACGATAACCCTATCAAAGTGTGAAAGCATCTCAGATCAGTAGAAGAGAGTTCGATGATTTTTAATAACTGTTAAAATTTCCCTATTTGTATTACAATAGGGTTCATAATCCAACGTAATACGATGACCTTAAGATGCTTGTTGAACTTTTATTTACGTAACTTCAATAGGCATTGATAAGACGATGACCATGCAGAAGTAGCGATGGGTCTTTGTATTATTGACCCTATATGAGTGAAAGTTGCGAGTTCCGGCAGAATCTGACACCTGTGGATACACGAGAGTATGGATACGGCGGCATGCGTTCATTCCACGTTTGGCTCGGATCCGGCGCGCGCGCATCTCCGTACAAAAGACATCAACGATTCAAGTTATGTTAGGTTGTAATTTGAAAATGATAAGTGAATTTTAAGTGGTGTGCTATTTCATATTAAATCGTTCTACAATTTGATAATGTTATACCAAAGTTAACATTTATTATATCATAAAAATGGCTTATTTCTCGAGAGTAGTTTTTATTTTAGCGGTAACTTCAGCTCTGAGGGTAAAAGATGATTTAGAATCGACGGATCCTCACGAAGTAATGATAGCACAGGAGTCTAGAAGCTACCATACATTTGTAGCACCGCCAGTTCGAATCATAAAACCTTCTGGAGTGATTAACTCGCACCGACCGCAGTACAACTTGGATTCTTTGGAAGAAGATTTGGCCAACTTAGACGTCGATAACTTCTTCGAAGCTACGACAAGAAAGAGTTTGTACAAAACATATAATCATCAGAATTCAAGGAATAAGGAGGCAATAATCAAAGATGCGGTTTTACGAGCTTTAGAGAGAAAAGATCATGTTGGTAAATTCGCTCAGATTCTACCCATTATTCGGGCAATGTCGGGTAGTCAGAGAGTTGCACTTGCGTCGTTGGTCGCCAGTCAAGTGAGCACTCCGCCGGGAAGATCACCCCTCAATCTTTCACAGGTGAGTCTTAGTGATTTCATTATTTCAACTTTACATTTACACACAACCTGTAAATATACTCGTATAATTATGTATATAATTTAACATGTAATATAGAGTGAAAATTTCACCTAGTTTCAAGAAAGACCGGTACTAAATGTTCCCTCCAAATGTTATTATTAAGTTGACAGTGTGTTATTTACTTTACTAACTTATTAATAAGCAATTATTACACAAATCTTACTAACTTCTAACTATGATATAAATGTAAAAGTTTAGATGGATGGATGTTTGTTAGAGTTTGTAGCCTAAACGGCTGAAAATATATCGATGAAATTTAACATAGACCTACAGAATTAATTGTAGATAACTAGCTGTCGCCCGCGACTTCGTCTGCGTGGTATTATAAAATTTAAAAGTAAATAACCTATGTGTCCTTCCAGGCTTCCATCTATGACTATGACAAATTTCATCGAAATCCATGAAGCCGTTTAGGCTACAAACTCTAACAAACATCCATCCATCCATCTCAACTTTCGCATTTATAATATTAGTAAGATACAGGTTTTGCATTTCAAACGTCACAGAGTAATCATTTAAAGGACTTTTAAATTACATTTATTGCTTAAAAATGAGTGATATCTTTTCAAATATTTTTCACAGCTGACTACGATATGATGTTATATTACATATAAATAGGAAAAAGTGCGTAGTAGAAAGTGGTTTAGGAAGTAACAGGTTTATTCGGAGTTGCAGGATGTTTACAAAGTTCTAACGAAACACGTAATCGTGTAAGATAAATAAATAGTAAAGTTTCTAAAAACGTTACTATCTCGAAGATTAGATTAGTCGGTTGGAAGAAATTCGATATAAGATAAATAAAATTGGTTTAGAATGTAAAAAGTAATCTATACTATTATAATAAAGCATAAACACACACTTCTTTGTTACCTTTTCTTAATAAAAAGCCCTACACTTACGTCACGCTTTAAGTTATATGTTTTCATGCCATTAAACATAGGGGGTAAATATTTTGGATAATAACCCTAATGTGGGAAAGCGACCATAAGTTGCTGCTAAGATCAAGGAAGCAAGGTTGTCATCATGTCATGTCATTTTGACATTTGTAATTGATAATTTGACAAATGTAAACAATCAAATAAAATTTTAATAATTTTATGCGGATGAAGTCGCACGGGAACAGCTAGTGTCTAATAAAAGTTCTTAGGTATCTGTTATTTATTGATATGAAAAAAACACGAACATATGTATAACACGAATTAAAAACCTCATATTTGAATTTAGTTAATATTTTATTACAATAGTCGGATTTAACGTTCATTAGATGCAATAAAATTTAGTAAAATGAAGATTTACGATAACATTTAAACGTATGGAAACAAAAAACACGGTTATATAAATCGTAAAGATTTCAGACAAGATTTGCGTCTGCTTACAATCGTCAATTGTTTCACGAAGGCTGCAGCTATGATACTCTAATCTGATTTTCTAATGTTTTGATATAGTTCTTACAGTAGATTATAACTGAATAGTTACTTATTATGTAGTCCCTATTTTGATAAAGGGTATGAAAACGTAAATTTTTATAATAGAACAAGCTTTCGCCCGCGACTACATCCGCGTGGGAATAAAAAACATGAGTAAGTCCCTTATGTGTTCTTCCAGACTATCCTCTACATCTATGACAAAATGTCATTCTATGACAAAAATATTAGACTATATATTTGACTAAACTATTGTACAACAATTGTGCGATTGTAGATTGTTTCAGAGCCCATTCAACTGTCTTAACTCTCTATTCCGGTTACTATAAAATGTAACGAAAATCTATTTACATGTGATTTGATCTTATTTTTATGAAAATACTTAAGCTGTTATGCGATTGTCGATTGTTTTGCAGTCAATTCAACTGTTTAGTTGCACAACTAAAAATCTAGTAGTATGCGCACCTCCATATATGTTCATAGGAATCAAAGCGCGACTAAACAATTTTGCGATAGTTTAGTCAATGGTGTGCGTGCTCTCTTGTAATCTATCGTAGAATTAGATTCATCGTCAATGTACAAGAGATTTGTTTTAATTTAAATTGATAAATCTACTATAATTATTAAATAAGAAGTATTATTAATAATAAGTTTTATAACGTGTGATATCTTTTATTATTTAATAATGTCATAGTTATTACAATTCAATAACAAAATATTCACAAATTTCACCAGATGCAATCTCGATAATATCGATAACGAGGTGATAATCGGATTCCGCGATTACATAAGTCACGACAAACTTTCAAAAAGATATACACGTGATAAAGAAAGCGGGAAAGATCAAGTTTTTAACGTTCATGACGCAAAATTTAGAACAGAATATTAAAAGTAAATTACAATAAAATATAAACAAAAGACATAATATAAAATTATCATAGAAATTATTTAATAATTTGTTCAATTTCACATTTGTTTCATCTGTTTATTTATTATTATTACGTTATTAAGTGATTAGCAAAATGCATTCGATTGCAACATTATGCATAAACATTAGAGAGAAACTTCTTAATGCAAATATACGAGTATACAAAAGATTGAATTAAATTAAAAGCGTTACAATTTATAGACATACATTACTACTGGTTCAATATTACTAGCATTATTCTATTATCATCATTAAAATGCATTTGATTTCAAGAACACATACAACCCCATTGATGGACTCGAAGCTATCCCTAGGTTAGGAGTGACTAGGCCATAGTCAACCACACTGGCTCATTGGTTGGTTGACATCACACATATCTTTAAATTTCTACACAGATATATACCCTTCTCTTTACCACCCTTTACTTTTAAGAAGAGGATGGGAAGAGGAAGTGGATTTAACGGTGGAGGAGATGCATAGGAAGGGGAAATATCCACTTTATGTGCGTCTCCTCCGTCGGATAAGGGTAGGCAACGCATCTGCAATTTCGGATGTCTATGGGCAGCGGTTGCTTCGCCATTTTGGCAGATCCAGGTGGCCGCTTGCTCGTTTGCCACTTTATGTTATAAAAAAAAATATACAGGTTACATTGTCTTGCATATGTATCGTTGGGTAATTTACTTACATTTGAAATTTAAAAATCAAATAACACATTGGTACAGGACTTACAGATTACAAGAGCTTAACCCAGAGTCACAGATGCTCCCAATATTTCTAATTACATAAATAATTATTTTTATTCGAAAATGTTAACACCTTAAATTTTCTTGTACCTTTTTTCAATGTTTTAAAATAACTCATTAATTGTAATGTATTTTTTTTGTTTTCTTTGTGTAGATATTAAAAGAATTGTAATGAAGTATTGGGGAAGGAATTGGCTCCTGTGACACAGGGCAACCTACTACAGGAGCCAAGACTTTCATGAAATGTATACAAAAGAGACAATAAATGAATTATTATTAAAAAAAAAATAAAAAAAAAAAAAAAATTGTTAAGGATTAAAAGAAACAAAACACAGTCGACCAACAAAACTATCGTATATGCAATTTTACGAGGAACAAGAGAAAAATTTCCCACTGCATTTTTACTTTCCCACTTGACAGATAATCGCGTTGCGATTATGCTGTGAATTGAAAACACTGTGTTTATTATTATGAGAGTGTTGGATAAAACAAAAGGTTTTTTTGCTTTTACAACTGTCTCTAGGAAGCTCTTAGCTAACGTCAGGACGTAGCGCTAATAGCTCAGGAGCTATTTCATAGATTGAAACATAAAAGAAAAGTCTAACTGCAAATTAGTCTAATAAATGCAATTAATTTTCTTCCATAATGGTATGTGCATTTTTAGTGCATTTTCAAAAAAAGTGACACGCTAATATTATTGTGACAGCGCTTGCGAAAAGTTTAATCTTAATATAAAAAACGAACCAGTTATAATTACTGCACACAAAAGGTTCGCTGAGAGAATCGAAAATAATTCTATTGTTCGAGCGAAAATCATATTCCAATAGATCGAATTATCTGCTTTCAATAGAACGGTTTCATTGGAGAGTCGACGGAACGGGGGCATTTTTTCTGCTCGCAGTGTACATTTTCACGCGTCACCATACACAGCTACAACGAGCGAGACAGTATCAATTAACGTTATCTTTGCCTCTAGTAACATGATTATAACTATTTTAATTAATTAAATTATTTTCAACTAGCTTTCGCCCGCGACTCCGTCCGCGTGGACTTAAAAAAATCAAAAGTAAGTACCCTATGTGTTCTTCCAGAATATCGAATACATCTATACCAAATTTCATAGAAATCCGTTCAGCCGTTTAGGCTACAAATGCTAACAAACATCCATCCATCCATCGAAACTTTCGCATTTATAATATTAGTAAGATTTATTTTACTAATTAAATTCCACTTAAGAGTTTAGAAATACGAGGTTCAATAAAAATAAAAAGCAATCGAATATTACATCAGTTTTTGCTTTACATAGGATTTCAATAGACCCATTGTAAAATTCGAATCTTTATTTTCATATCCTTAATCGAAATGCGTCTGACAGTTGAATATTAATAGACAAGAGGAATAGTTGGCCGCCGCTCAAGTATGGCGGCGCGGCGTGCGTTTCCATCTCAATCTCAATCGATTCAATTCAAGTGAAACACGGAAATAATCATCACGGATGTCATGGCTAACAAAACGTTGTTCTTTTCACACTAGTATATTTTATCTAATAAATGAGTTAATCGTAATTACAAGAAAAAAAAACATACAGACGAATTGAGTACCTCCGTCTTTTGGGAAGTCGGTCAAAAAAGGTCTTTAGTGTCTTAACGTATTCAATTCATAAAATTTACACGAAAATAACATGAATTATTAATAATCTGGTAAAAATAAGGCCTTTCTTTTCTGCGTACGATTTTATAGGCCATGAGATATTTTTGTAGAATTTTAATCAACACATCAAAACTAAGTTAGTGTTTGTAATCTAAATATTGGATTACTAGCTTTCGCCCACGACTCCGTCCGCGTGTAATAAAAAAAAAAAAACAAAAGCCTATGTGTTATTCTAACTATCATCTACGTCTGTGCCAAATTTTCAAGATCCGTAAATCCGTATAGGCTACAAATTCTAACAAACATCCATCCATCTAAACTTTCGCATTTATAATATTAGTACGAGTATGATTATTAAACTTGTGCCTTGTTATTTTTAATATATTATTATAGTTTTCAAAATATTAATTCATAATTATACAATTTATCGGTTAATACTATCTTAATAGTGCTTTAAAATGTCTAATAGATCAAACGTTACACTACATATGCGGATTGAATAAACAGTTTGTTTCATACATGTTCAAAGAGTAACATTTCCATCAGATTTAAAATGTAGATCATTAAAGAGAGCGAAAGTGCCAATGAAAGTGATAATACTCCGAAACTTGTTTTGGTTATACAACATAAATATAACTCAATCTACAATACAATAGTAATTGATATAAACTAAATATTCTTCAATATTAAACTACACCTAGTTACAGTGAATTCTATCATATCTAGTTGGTCTAAAATCACACTTTCCTTCATCGTTACTCACATAATATTCTACGCATTCTCAAGGCTTTTTGACCTTAGAAAACCAGAACAATAAACATGACCTCAACTCTATCTAATAACAAACGACTTTTTCTCATGACCATGACACTTTCATTGTCAAAGATTTTTAGGGTATGATATAATTTTAAATTACACTATTGTGTTTATTCGCAGTAAAACTTTAAGAGATGCAGTTAAAAGATTCCAATATATTTTAGAACAATGTTTCTTTACACAAATTCAATAATACATTTACATTACAGGTAAGATCAATGTTCGGTAACGAAAACAATTCTACATCCGAGTTAATGCTGCCGATACTCTTAGACATGGCGAATCTGATACGACGCGCCGTTAGACCCGGCAAGGAGCAGAGAGATGTAAAACTACCACTAACACTTCCACAAACAGAGTACCTCAGACGTTCATTCATTGACGATGCAACACAGAGTGATGAATTCGATCCCGGAGTTGAAGAATTCAAACAAACAGAAACAACTAAAGCACCATTAAGTCACAACAATCGAAACACAAGAAGCAGACCTCATACAACTTCAAATAAATCAAATGAACTAATAGACAAAAAAACTACACAAGACAATAAAACAGCAGACAATTCAACACTAAACGCTAAAGATAATTCAAATAATACTTTAATGGATAAGAAAGAAGATAACAATGTAAGTAGAAAATAATTTTGTTTCATACAAATCCACAACATCTTAACATAATATGAGCTACCAATGCAATTGACCAAGTTAAGCTGATTACTAAGTACCTAAAGTGTTAATGAAATGTTTTCACATCATTGTCAAGATACGCAACGCGTAACAAATGAGGTGGAAAGTGAAACCTGGTAAAAGTTTTGTATGCTCTCGAGTCGACTTTGATCTTTTTAGTATATACCAAGGATAACGTCGGCAGCTTTAATCATTCTACTGGTAGGGTAATAAGCAAGTGTAACTGACAATGCCAATTTTGCATGCTTTTTCATATGCGGAATCTATTGATTTAATAGGCTCGGCTCAGCTTTGCCTTTATAAGTTATAGTTAGCGGTAACGATTGAGAGAAAGCGGAAACCCGATTACTGGCAAATAGCCATTTCATCGCAGTTATCAATGGTGACGATCTATTTTAGCTTGTTGTGGTCAGTAAACCTAGAAATAAACAAGTTATAGCAACTACAAATTTTACTTTGACTTGTTTTTGTCCGGATCCGAGTTTGAAATCTCACCTTTGTTTTTAAAGACAATTTTCTTCAAGTAGGACCGCCTAACATTTTTAAATAATTAATTTGACTGCAAAAGACTTGTGGACTATTTTAATAGTATTACAAAAAACATAAGTTAATTTAGTTAAAAATGTATTTGTGATTAATTTTCAGAACACCACAAAGTCATCAATAACGCAACAAAGTCGACAAGCGTTTGCTAGAAGCAGGTCAATGACCCTAGCAGACAACGCCACCCTCGATCTTACAGCGGACTCTACCAACCAATCGCTGCACGCACTTCCAGTCGCTGAAAAACTACGGTCACTTAATAGATACATTGATAGAAAAGGTAAACTTTACATGTTTCTCTCTTATTAGTTTTTTTTTTTTACAATGATGCATAACAAAATTAGGATGCCTAAGTTGAACCTCAATATGGCACAGCCAAATATTAAATCCGATGTTTTAAATCTTAAATAAATTGTTCACAAAACGACAACAAAGTCTGTCACTCACGAGTCTTTAAAACTTGACATACCAATAACTGTAGCTATCTCTTTTATTATTCCAGGGAACGTCATACGTCGTGCCACTTTCTCCCCTAAGACGCCACCTCGTCGCACTACCGTTGAGCCTCTGAGCAGAAGGAGACCTTTTCCAGCCAGGAAGCCAGTTCCAGCGGAGACCAAGTGCGAAATGTTCACAAACAACGTTTGTCTGCACTATGATGATTATCCTACGTAAGTGTAATTTATACAATCCAATACAATGGTTTATTTTGAACGCCAAAAACTGAAGACGTAATGTATGTAGAAGCATATCAATGTCGATCGTTTTTGATGAACGTGTATCCATTGCTTCTCTTTTCTCGTGGATTTCAGATAGCTGCCAAACGATTGGCTTTATAATTTATCAGAATTATTGGTTTACTCTTGGAATTGGATCGCTTGATTCAAATATATTAGTTTTATTTAGAAGTTAATTATAATCCCTACAATTTCCAGGGAAGCTATAATCCAATCGATACGACGTAACAAGGCTGCTGGCGCATTACTTGCTGATGTAAAAGACCCGGGCGAGGGCGCTGTGGATGGCATAACTCAGGCACAAGAGGCCAAGTATACCGCGGACCATTATCTCGTCTCAAACAGGTAAATTCTTTAGTCTTATTAGTACAAGTAACTTGTTGATTTTACGAACATAATAGCAATCAGTGCTTACATGGAATGTTGCTAAGATTTGACTTTTTCTGAAGACTAATGTAGTCATAGAGCTGATGCAAATTTTGAAAAACGACTTACATATTAAAATAACTCTTCTAAACTGATTGGAGTAACCAGTTCAAGACTAAACGCGTAAATAAAGTTGTTTTGACATTAATATCGATAAAAAATACAATGGTTTTAGGCGAGGTGACACAGCTAATAGAGATTTCGCGAGCGCGGGCGAAGCTGGCTTCATGTGTCCTAGCACCGTGAAGTACGCGAGACCGCAGCGAGCGCGCGCTACTTCTGGTCAGTGGAAGTTTATCGTTAATACCGGAGAACACACTCAAACTCTTCGACTTGAGAAGTGCCTGTAAGTACAATTTACTTAGATACTGGTACATTCGAACCCAATATTGACTAGTCTGATACAATCTGATTATTTTAATTTCAGAAAACCAAAGGAATCATGCACATATCTAACGGATAACTTCAAATCGAAATGTGTACAAGTTTATAACTACCACAGACTTCTGACATGGGACCAACAAAACGGTCTACATATGGATATTTTCAAGGTAAATTTTTACATCCCACATCATCTGAATAATGAACTAACAAAACACATTATCTAAAAATTAAAAAATGTTTAATTTTGATTTTTTCACTTCTAGGTTCCGACGTGTTGTTCTTGTCACATTGAAGGTTACAGCGTCTCATTCCCGCCACTAGGTCATAGAATACACGAGACTTCTTCTGAACATTTCCCCGGAGAAGACTTATCATCCGAACAAGGCAATCAAGCATTCGAAGCAGTCCAATCAACAATACATAAACCTGCTCTTTCTAAAGTACCGAATTTCTCCTTTAATAAACCCATAGATACATTTCCCCCGCTAAATGAAAATCAAAACTCAATACCAGGACAATTATTTACGGATGTAGTAAATGATGATGATGAGTTTAATAATGTACCATCACATAATATCCAAGATTCTTACGGGAATGCATATTTCACGGATTCGTTAAATCAACCTAGTTCAGTAAGAAATGTAAGGAAACCCTCGATAAGCCGCTATCCACTTGGAGGGTCAGGTTTTAGTACAGCAACGTTACCGAGCTTCTTAGAACCGCCTACGCCGGGGTCGTCTTCGTTTTCATATTCTAAAGATGCTTCTAATAAATACAAACCTACTGACAATTTATTCAAAAGAGGCATTTCGAGACAAAATTATAGACCGTTACGAAAAAAAATATCTGAAGCCTCTGATGATTTATTATCTTCGGGAACTTCTGTAGTTGGTTCATTATCTGGTGATTTAGATAACGAAGATGATTTGATAGTAGACCAACAAGGTGACATAAGAAAAACAAATGTAAATACGAATTTAAAAGCAACAATAGCACCTAAGTTATATGGATTTAGTACAGTAAAACCATTAGATAGTTCTGTAAGACCCAACGATCAAAATCATTTAACGAAAGAAGAAACTCTTTTGAATAGTAAAAGAATCAACTACAACTATCATCCTATAATTGATTTCTTTGAGGATGAAGAAAGAGAAGGAAACGAGTCTATAGATAGAGAAGATATTGTTCCGGAATTTATACCGTCCACAGAATCAGAATGGAAGCCATTGAACCGCCCTGTCTCTACTACGTGAAACGTCGTATATGTCAAATATTAAAAAAAATAGTTAGAATAGTTAGAATGATAGAAAAATAGAAATAGATTATTATTTTAACGAAGCCAAAATTATGATGCAATGTAAATTATTTATTTTAATTTATTTTTTATTGATTTAGTTAATTTATGAAGTTAAGTTCGTTAAGTTTTATGTCTAATAATATTTATAACTGAAATAAATAATTTTGAAGATTTTTTATTTTACTTTCAGTTTTATACTTTAAGTGGCTGTATTTCAAATATTTTATGAAGTATTAATAAAAGAGAAAGTGCTGTCGTTGAACAAAATCAATTGTAACAATGTTATTGGCAAAGTGAAGGCTGCTAATGTTGATTTAGAAATATTCGATAGCATAATAGTAACAGTGTAATAATGAAAACAAAATGTCCTGAATGTCTATTCAACCAAGAAATGTTTTTTATACTTATACAATTGGTAAGACCTGACTTTGACCTAAAAGGGTATAAAAAATAATACTCGAAAATTTTAAATTATTCATTTATTTTATAAAACAATTTAAATAAACGTTTCTTTCACATTCAATTATTTATTAGAAAAGGTAACAATTTTGTATTTATCACAGATAGTTTATCGTAGTGACCTTACAATTTAAATTAACAAGGTACAATTTTATACCATGAAATCGTAACCCAATTTTTAACACTTTAAAAAACGTTAGAAAATAGAAGACTATAAGTGGCACTGCTAATTTTGGATCCTAGCATAAATTTATACTAAATTCTACTAACATATTGATTCTTTACGAATCGACATAATAATACATTCTCTTGCTAGGGTCTAAAATATAAGGCGCAGAGGTGGTTAATGTTGGAATAACGCGTGCAAATGTGTCCAGTACTGCGATAGAATTTGTTCTCATGTGTTTGGAACTATCCTCTTTGTTTTCCTTTCTTCGACGCGAAGGTTGTCTGTTATGTTCATTAGCTTGAGTGATTCTTGCACTCCTGTAATTACCTCCATGCAAATCTCTGCCGCTACTTCTAGAGCTACCATAGGATTTAAAATTCCCGCCATGCATATTTCCATTGCCACCTTCATTTTCATCATGATCTTCATTTAATTCTATAAGTTTCTCGCTCTTCTTATTTTGGTTGTCTCTATTTTGACTTTGATTAATTTTTAAATTACCGCCGTGCGTTTTAGTACCAGATAAATTATTTGAAGCATTATTAAGGTCCCTTAATCTTGGATTTGGGCCACGACTTCTTCTTGTTCTTTGAGTGGTACTTCTCGTTCTTACGTTGTCGTGTTGTCTTCTCCTCTCTTGCTTACGTTTGGTTTGTTTTATTGTTTCATTTTCCGATGAAGGAGAAACCTTAGTAGTAATATTTGAAGGTTCTTTATTACTTTTTTCTTCAGTCGTTGCAGTAGGTGTATTTTCAGATTCTATAGATTCTATACTTCTGTAATTGCCTCCATGTCTAGGTCCGTTCTTGAGATCAACATCATCGTCAAAAATTTCAACATCAAATATTTTGTTAACTTCTCGTGCTAAATTTTCATCTTTATATAATTCTAGAATTTCAGCATTTTTTTCTGATGTTTTCCTAGGTATTTCTTTAATTATCTCTGTTTCTTTAATATCTTGCTTGAATTGAGTTAAGTTGTTATTATTTGGGAGATCCTTATGTATTTCAATTTTTTTCTTAGATATCACTGGTTTTAGATCTATTTTTAATCTTCGAACCGATGTTGTGCTTTCAGGTGCTACCGTTGTTTGAGGAAGCGTTTGTTTAGTTGGTTCAGGAGTAGTAACTTTGATATCTTCGACACTTTCATCACTATCCTCGGTATTAGATGTATCAGAGATATCATCCTCATCAGTTTTGTCACCCTCTTCGTCATTTTCATCGTCCTCTTCACTATCATCCTCTTCTTCATCGTCATTTCTGCCATCAATTTCAAAGTCGCTATCATAATTTGTTTTGCTATTAAGTTTCCGTTTTGTCTCTTCTTTCTCATAATTAGGCATGTATTCTTCCATATCATGTTTTATACCAATTAATTCATCGATGTCGTCTTTTCTCATATCATCGTTACCCTCGTCATATCGTTGTGTATCTGTTACAAAAGTACTCTTAGCACTTTTTCTTTTCTTTTCTCTGTATTTAGGAATAACAGTGTCATCATTTGTTGTCTTCGACTTTTCCTTCAATTTCTCATTGACTGGAATTGAGACTTTATCTTGATGAATTACTTCATCCGTGGGATTACGGAATCTAGTAATTAATTGCAACTTAGGTACCTGGTGATCAACTTTTTCTTCATTCCGAGGCGTGCTTGACGTTGTATGAATTCTAATTCTCTTTCTAATCGTTGGTTTTGATGTAGTTGTTGTTGAGGTTGTAAGAACAATCTCTTCTTCCTCATCATCATATTCATCATACTCGTCACTTTCCTGTGATTCAGATTCATCCTCTTCTAATACATCTGGTTTACGCTCAGGATACTCCTTAATTTTTTTGACTTTGTTTGATGATTCTGGTCTTTGTAATTCCAACGATTCTGGCAAGTATTTGGAAACATCGAAGAACTCCCTATTTCCATTTGCGTTCTCGTTCTTATGCGCTCTTTCGGCACGTATTACTTGACTTTTAGACTTGTCGTTTTCATTACTGTCGTTGGTATGAATTTTATAAGCTTCAGGAGTAATGGATTTTTTTATTTCTATAGGTGTATACTGAGGCTTGTGATTTAATGGTCTTTGTTCAAATCGTGGTTCACCCTGGCGCAGACCTTCATTTACATCTACAAATGTAGAATTTGATGTTTCCTTTTCAGGTGTTCTATGTGTTTTTTCTCTATCTTTTTTGCTTATATTTTTGTAAGTAATACTTCCCGTATTTCTTTTAACTGGTTGATCTTTACTTAAGTTTGTTGTGACTCTATCCACAACTCTGCTTGACTGCAATTGCTTAATTAACGGACTTATATTACTTGATGTAGTTGTTTTCTTCGAATCTTGAATTTGACTATCTCTTATTATTTTGTACGGTTCGTAAATAAAAGGAGTTGCTCGTTTCCTTCTTGCTGAGATTTCTTTTTTCTTTTCATTTTGATCATTACTGTTTTCGTCATTAATTTTCATCCCCTCGGATATCAAAATGTCAAGTAACAGTTTTTGGGCTAATGTGTCGTTAGCTTTTATTTCACTATTTTTCATTTTATCTTGATCAACGATACTGCTAGTTTGAGTCTCAAGTGTTATGGGATTGTTTCGTTCATTGAGGAATTTAAAAATATTCGAAATTGGCGCCCTAATTGGTTCTGGGTCTGAAATAAGGTCTTCCTCGAAAAATGGACTATCTAAAGGATTTTCTCCGAAATATTTAACTTTAAAACAATCGATTTTGTCACCAAGACCTTTCAAACGTTGTTTTTTACCGGTTTCTTTTATGCTTTGGTCATCATCTTCGTTGTTGTCGTCAGGATGACCACCTTTTTTCAATTTTTCTGGGATTGGATCAACATTATCGTCTACTTCAGGACATTCATATTGCTTTCGAGAGTCATAAAATTCAGTTCCCCCTTTCGTCTTTTTTGGAATATTCTTCAGATTTTCAGCATATCTTAAAGGCGAATGCTTATTAATTGCTTCCGTATTTTGATGGTAATAGGGGTACTTAGATAGTTTATGATCCGATTTATCGGCTTGAGTTTTATTTTGAGAATTTTTGCGCTGTTCATCGTCACTTGGGAAAGTTGTACTTAAATTAATTTCGGGTACCTCAAAATTTGTTTCCCTCTTACTTAAGCCATGTTGTGAGTCACCTTCGCCGGAGTTTTCTTTATCTTCATGTTGGCTGCGGTTATCATTTTCAATAAAATAATCACTATTATTCTCAGAATGATCGTCTTCCTCCTTTAATTCCTCTTTTTCTTTGTCATCATTCTTCCACTTTTCGCCATGAATAGTACTATCTCCGTATGAAGTCCCTTTACCATCTTCGTATTTTCCGCTATAGCTTGGTATTTTATATTTTCCTTCACTTGACTCCTTTTCTTTAAGATAACCTCCATGACCTTCGTGATCAGTTGCATGTTTTTGTTCTCCAGCATGATCATATGCAGCATCTTCATAACCCTCTTCTGAATAAATAGTATGAGCTTTAGAGCTTTTTACTGCTTCTCTCAGGCGAGGTGCGTTTAATATATCTTCATATGTTTCAGCGTCATGAAATGCTGCGTCTCGAGGAACATGCTTAACTGTTTCTATTTTTCTTACTTGGGCATAATTCTTAACGGGAGAAAACTCTACTTCATCGTCGACATTTTCATTTTCATTACTGGTGTTTTGTAATTCTAAGGCTTGATGACTACTAGGACGATTTTCTTTAACCGCTTTGTTAATGGATTCATCGACATTATTTCTTAACTGAGAAAATTTTGCCTTGCCTTTTTCGTATATATCATATCCATCAGGCTTTTCTTCGTGAATTTCGGCAGGTTGTACTTGAGGATACTCGTTTTGTTCATCATCGTATTTTAAGGCGTGTTGTTGCCTAAGATTGTGTAAATGGTTTTTTATTGGACGATAGTGGTTCGGAGTAACTTTTCCATAACTCTGTCCCCATGGATGTCTTATTTTATGATTCAAGACATTATCTCGATTGTTGTTTGATATTGGAGGCATATAGTATATAGGGCGCCGTTGTGGCTTGTGCATTTCAAACTGGGTTGGTTGATTTTGAGGAGGACTTTTTTTGCGATCTGTTTCATTTGGGCTTTCTAAATATTCACTTTTTTTGATATCAGATTCGCCAGCACTATTTTCGTATAACTGCAATCGGTTTTTAGTTGTCTTAACGTCATTCTGTACTTTTGCTAGAAAAGGATCTTGGTATATTATTTTTAACGCCGGCTCTTCCGCTTTGTAAGGATGGAATATATTATATTTGGTTGAAACTGGAGTCACGTGTGTGAGATGTTTGTTATTGTTTATGAACTGCCGGTAAGGTGCATGTATCTGTTTTCTGGGATCAAGAATTTTATGTTTTCCAAGCTCAGGTTTGTTGACACCCGTATGTGGTCTAACAGGGTGGGCCTTGTATAGATTCTCCGGAGATTTCACACCATGGAAATTGGCAACTTCAACAGCGAATTGAGGTTTCTTCGCTGTGTATTCGAAGTATTCTTTCGGTATTGGTTTTTGAGGATTTTGCTGCGCCTCTTTCGTTGCGAATGTCTCAACTGGTAAAACATTTTGGTTTTTTAACTGATCATTTTGCACTTCACTATTATCATTCCACTCAATTGGTACTCGGATTGTCAAGCACAACGTATATTGGAGCACGAGAAACGCTAAAACTCGGATCATGATTTTACATCACGAATCGCGACGAAAACTTCGGTCAACTGAATCAGTAAATGGCCTGACTACTGCTTTTATCTCCTCGGTTATTCGTTGCGGGCCGATTGCTAGTGACCGCTCGCTTTGATACTAACGTTTGGTCCAAGTTATAAGCGATACGAAGATGCTTTGAAATTTTTCTTAAGAATTTTATTGATATAAAAAACATGAATTGATAAAACAAATGTTAATTCATTTGTCGCAATAATTAAAATTTTAGTACAAATAATTCTTAGTAAGTTTTTAGATGCAATTAAATTTAATTGAATATAAAGTACTTAAAAATAACTTTTTTTTTTGCTTATGTATATGCTTTCACTGGCCTACATCATCGTGTATATAACCCAAGTCCGAGCTCTTCGACATCGTTTGAGTTAACCACTGAAGAGGTCAACAGATTGTGTTGATTCGAGACGAACAAAAAAAAATTAAGATGACAGTGCGATAAACAGAATAATAAGGGAAAGTAAATGATTACATTCCATTGCGTAGATCATTATTTTTTAATAATTTAGTTAGAACCAGATGCAGAAGATATAGAAATTTTTGGAATAAAAAGAGGTTAACGCTATTTTACTACAAAATACCGTGCAACTTAATAAGGACATGGAAAGTCAGCTTTGTTAGGATACGAACGTTTGAGAGAGTCGACAATTCTAAGCAATGTGGTGAAAGCTACGACTAAAATCAGGATTGAAATATCTCCCGGACTTGAGCCCGACATTCAAACGTTTTGTAATAACTTGTACCAGTTTTGTAAATAAACTTTTAAGTTATAATCTTTAAGACACAGACAAAATTTCTTAACAATTAAGACGATTTTCATACTGACTTTAGCTTATTTGTTTTTTTTATTACGTTTTTAAAATTTATTAACGTTTATTCAATACAGGCATACGTTCAGCAATTAATTTATACTTAAGTATAAGTGGAATACTTAGCAAAAGGTATAAATTATGTTGGTCTAGTCTTTCATAATGTATAAGACAATTATAACGGGAGTGGTCTTTCGAAAGTCAAAGTGGTTGCGACATATGGCGAAACATTATAGGTATTCTAGTCCTAGACTCCCACGGTAGGTACTGACCGGTCGCTTATTTGCGAACAGTCTTCGGTTCTTACTAATCGTTTAGTTTCTTGTAAAGTTAATATCTAAAATGCTTATGAACTAGTTTTAGTTTAAGACAGTAATTAAGGTTATATCAGTAAACTGATTTTACTTAGTTAAAAATAACTTTCAATTAAGAAAAATTATTTCTTTGTTTTTCTATTGAAATGCGAAAATGATCAGATTTAATCATTCGTTTATAAAAATGTTTCAAATATAATTTAGATTTTATTTTATTCTTTATTTTGCATCTAACTGTACGTACCTTTTAAAATGCCCTTTAATAACGAGAACGTTTGTGCAACGAAAGCTTTGCACATTTTCACAATATACCATTCGGAGAAATTGTAGTTTTTATATCTAAGTTTGTGGGAGATTCTATACACGTTATGAATTAGACAAAGTTATAACTTTAATTTATGGTTTTTAATTTATTTACAAATTTATAGAGGACATTTAATGACAAGGTGAACGTCCAGGTTGCTACTAAAAAGGGACGCCAGAACAATCTAAATACGCCTGTTTCCATCCCTCCCCAAATACTACAAAAGGCGCCCTTGAAAACTCCACCTGGGAGCCCTAGAACCATTCTGTGGTTGCCTGTTTGTTTTACAAAGAGATTTTTAATTTGACTACGTAGAAAATAAATCGATTAAGTCAAAATAAATAAAAAACAAAACAATTATTTATAACGAAATAGATTCAGTTTCGAATTTTAGTCGATTTGCGAAACTAAGGCACGACCGTCGTTTGCAATCTCGTCGCAATGTCATCATGCAGAACTTCATTTACGGTTCGACGGAAATCGAAACATCGATTAACTAAGAAATCGATTTTTATATTAAGCTTTTGAGCAATTGTGTACGCTTTTATTTAAAAGCTTTTTAACATTTTTTTTATTAACATGTGACACAATATTTTAAATGATAAATTTATACTGTAACATAAGTATACACTAAGTTATTAGTGTATACTTATGTTAGTTTACAGTAAAAAGATGTTGAGACTTGAATTAAGACTTCACATTATGCAATTATTTGAAATACTTAATCATTTTTTTTATTAAACAGTGTCTATTTAATTGATTTTTTATGTAAATAATATGTTATAAAGTTATCTAGCGTTTTGTTAAATGATTTTTTATGTCATTGCATAAATTCTTATTGTTTTACTTTCAATTATATCATTTATGTTTTAAGTTCATTCGAGCATAAAAATCGATATCGATGTTTATCGATTTCGATGCAATATCGATAACGTGGTTAAAGTGATTTGTGCAACTATACGGTGGGACATTTCTTTATGTAATTCGATTCGCAATCGCATCGAAATTGAAGCATTGTCGATCTTGACGTAACTCGAACTCGGCCGCAGCCGGTGCGAGCCTCTGGTTCGTTGAAAGTAAAGGAAGTTTGAAATGTGTTGCGATACAAAGACATTTAACATATACAAATTGATAGACGGGACAAAACAGACCAAACTGGTTAAAAAATCGATATAAAAAACGACCTGGTTTGTACTAGCAAGTCGATTTTTAGTTTCCGATGTAGTAGTCGGAACTGTTTTCAATTGTCTAGTTCAAAACATGTAATAGAATAGATAATATCGATTACGCGTGAGTTTGAGTAAAATATTTGATGGTATTTACTCACAATGTCCGCTCTATACAAATATTATATTTGAATCTCTTTCGTTTGTACGGACGCTGACACGCCCTCATCGGTTACAGTCTATATTGCTTCGTAAAAAGCTATTAAATTTGTTTATTTGTATAGGTTAAGTGGGAAAGGAAGTCATTTTGTATTAAGTAACTTCACCTACATAAGATATTTTAGCTAATTGTCGTTACACACCAAAGCCGATCATTTTTAAAAGGTAGAAACCAATCGGAAATATTACATCCTCGATCTCATGCTTTCTCTTTCTGTCGGAGGAAGTCAGTTGAGATGACAGATTTCGTTTTCATATTATCATGTTATATCGTTTCATTTCCTTTAAACAGTAACATATTTAATTTTCCTAAAACCTGATAATAATAATTATGAAGCAATGACGTATCATACCAGGCTAAGTAATGTAATTTTTATTTTTTTAATTTAGCGTTTTATAACAACTATGCTATGATTATCCACAGTCATGCACGACTGCCTGATGGTTGAAGACAACAGGCCCTAATGTAATTCCCTTGGAATACAAAGAAATTTCTCCATGCCTTAAATAATTAAAACTACTTTTCGCCCGCGACTCCGTCCGCGTGGTAGTAAAAAAAACAAAAGTAAGCAGCATATGTGTTATTCCATACTCTGCTCTACATCTATGCCAAATTTCATCTAGATCCGTTCAGCCGTTTAAGCTACAAACTCTAACAAACATCCATCCATCTAAACTTTCACATTTATAATATTAGTTAGTTAGTTAGATAAGAAAACAGAATTTACAGCTTTTCTCGAAATACTTTTAGTTGCACCAATTTATAATTTTGGTAAATTGATGATTGAAATAAAATGGATCTAAACAGATTAAAAAGTACAAGGTACAAAAAAATACAGCATAGTAGGAAATATCTCTTAGAAATATATTTGTTCTAAAAGACAAAACTTTGTAAGTTCATTTTAGTGATGTTAAGCTTTTAATCGTACACCGCCTAGGCAATGCGTCAATGCCTAAATGTTTATAATAACTAAAATGTAAGCTTATAGAATAAAATTTATATTTCTTGCTAGAAATATTTGTCACAGTACAAGGCTATCTAGATATTGCTTATTCGATATTTATTCATATTAACCATATTAGTTTGACACACCTAGATTATATTCAGTTAAATTTAATCTTTCATAAATTGACTATTAGAGACAGTTTAATGATGATGTTTATATGGACTGGAATGTTTTTACAAAACTAATACTCTTTAGGAATATTGCTAAAGTTTAAATACCTTTTTTCCATCAATATCCTAATTGGGTTAATTTTTTTTATTAAATAATTACAAAAAGGTCTTAAAGGCAAAAATAATTTTATATTACTGATTTAGTGATTTATCTGATAAATCTTTTCTTATATATCTATACTAATATTATAAAGATTTGTATTTTTGTATGTATTCGATTCACGTAAAAACTAATGGGCCGATTTCAAAAATTCTTTCACCATTAGAAGGGTAATTTATCTGTGAGTTATATAGGCTACATTTTTATTGTATTTTAATTTCACGCGGACGGAGTCGCGGGCGAAAGCTAGTTTAAAATATCATTGTACTGTTAGTAACAGTAATAATTTTCAAACCACAAAACCGATCGTCAAATACAACGTAAAGATAATAAACTTGCAGTAAGTTCTGTTATTTCATCTTACGAATTTTATGTTGCAACACGACTGCGCTGTAACCGATCCACTGGACGCGACTGTACCAATTTGAAAACGCTTTGGTCGCGAATATACCGAAACCTGTGATCGCGATTGTACCCGACCTAGTGGATATGACTGTAACTATTCGCCTGTTACGCTGTAAAACATACGCTGAAGCGTTTAAAAACTTTTTTATAGTATAAGGTGACAAACGACCAAGCGACCATCAGAATTCGCCTATAGCAAAGCGACCGCTACCCCTATGGGTAAAACAATTTCCCTACTTTTAACTGACGGAGGAAATGACGTATAGATGGAGGGTTTTCCTTCCTATGCGACCCAACCTCCGTCCAAACCGCTTCCATATCCAATTTATTCCTTCGGGCCACCGAGGGCGCTACAGGCTCATACGGAGCCACTACAGATGCCTTCATTCATATGGGTTTGTATTGCAGCTACGGGGCGTCGTAGAAACCTTGGCCCAGGTTCAAAAATAAGCCAGTTCCTTCCAAAGTGTAAACTTTACTGGATCTGTATTTTGCAATTAATGCCACAGAGCAGCGCAATTGCAGTTCTGCTGATTAGAAACTGCCAGTCAAGGAAATGTTTTTAATGATACTTTTTTGCTCTGTAAGCCATTCGATAAAGGAATCAATGTGAAAAAATGTCTTACCGATGTTTTTGTAGACGATCAAATAACGTCTTTAGTAACATCGAGTAAGAATTTAAAAATCGGTCGTTGACACGACCTATAAAGTTTGTTATTGTATAAAAGTAATTTAACGGACATTATATAGTTAAATTTTTAATATTAATGTAAACAAAATTTGCAATATTTTGCTTCGGTTATTTATGTGAACAATTAACCGAAGCAAGATATTCATTTTAAAAATTGCTATAAAAATAACTTGGAAATATTGTTTTTGAAACGAAATATGAAGTTTCAATTCTTCCAAGAGCTTAATAGAATAATTTAGTATTTACTTCTTTTTCACGTAACTAACCTAACTAACCTAGCTAACCTAACTAACCATTACTAGTAAAACTTAAGGTAAATTTAAGCAGAACTTTTTTCACGTCCATTACTCCACCTTAAAAGCCTCATACATATGTATAAAGTATAGTTATTATATGCTAATACAATGCTATAAAGTACGAATTTGTATGAAGGTTGAATATCTGGTATATAGAGCGTGTAAGTTGTACTTAACAGATTAAGCTCAAGTTAATCGTGCGTCAAGTTATATACAGTCGGCATTAAGTTGTCAAGGCTCAATGGACTTAACATCGCGTCATAAGCACCAAGGAAGAGGATAATTCTGCAACAGTAAGTTTTAATGTAGCTTTCTGATGGTGCAAGAATTTTTGAAGTCGGTCCAGTAGTTGTTGAGTTATTATTATTATACATACAAAAATATATCAAAAATGAGCGTCGGTGGCTCAGTGGTTTGAATACTTGACTTGTAATCTACAGGTCTTGGGTTCGAATGCCGCCATGTACCAATGTGATTTTCGATTTTTCGAATTTTCATATGTACATAATTTACCCCACGTTCTTACGGTGAAGGAAAGCATCGTGATGCAACCTGCGCATATCGGCGAAGAAATTCAAAGATATGTGTGAAGTCAACCAACCGGCACTTGGCCAGCGTGGTTGACTATGGCCTAGTCACCCCTTATTAGGGTAGGCTCCGAGCCCCTCGGTGGGGACGTATAGTGAGCTGGTGATGATGATACAAAAATCCAAAAATATAAATCCTACCTCTTCACAATATTAGTATAGATAAACCACTTATAAAAACCGTACGAAATCACATGACATTTATTCTACTAGAAAAAGCTATTACGAAAATTTTAAATAACTAATAAGTTATTTTTTCTTCGCTAAAAACATAAAAACCCTGAAAACATCAACGACTTTTACGCAATCCGAATAAATTTTTTATCACAAACTTCGGTCACGTGATTCTCAATGTCAGAATTCATCTTATCCTTTATACTGTTTTCGTATTCCGATTGCAGAATGTCCCGACACTTTGAGGGCCGCATCTCTTCGATATAAGTATCGTGCGTTATGCCGCGCGGCTCACTCTAGTCTACAATAAGCAGACATGATTTCACGACAGGTTAGTTCTTTTGTTTTTACGTAATTTTTTAGTGTATCGCTATCTTTGTTTTTTTCTAATTGAATGAAAGGGACAGGAATATGTTTTGTGTTCAGCGACAAAAACCTATGAATTATAATCTGTATAGACTTCTATTGCGGAGCACAAAAGTAGCGCTAAAAATGACCTCCAAAATCCTTTTGTCGGAGTAAACTCCCTCAGTATTGTAACCTCAAACTTGTATGAAACACTCCATCTATGTTTATTTACTGTCTTTTATTTTATTTTTTAATATCTCACTTTGTAAATCAATTAAACTTAAGTGTTAAAACTTTTTTAGTAACGGTCAATAATTATTTTATAAATTATCACTAACTAAAATGTAACTAACCATATGTCTCCCGCTAATAATACGTAAAACTTAAAGCCAGTACTTATGCAAAATAATTCATTTATAATTGATATACTGATGCCTTTTAATTCTATTTCAATTAAAAGATTTATTTAGCAACGTATTTTGTGTATTTATTAGCGTCAATTACAGTTATATTTTCAACAACGATATAGTTATTTGCGTTGCTAACAAATAAAAATTATTGTCCGTTCGCAAGCGCAATACTGCTGTTCCAAATTTGATTGACGACTGGAATTTGTGTACGTGCAAGAATATTATAACTATTTTTAAATTCTGCACTGATAAAACGCGATCGACCAGTAGTATTTAGGTTAAATTTGCATTGTAGAAATGTGGTCTTTGGTTATTTTCGTAGGATAGAAAACGAATAATTTATAAAATGCGAAATTATGTGATTATTTGGATAAAACTTGGATAGCTATTATTACCTTTTATTTCTTATGTAAATGATAAGATGTTACATAAGGCCAGACCTCGCGGGTCGATGGCATGAGGTCAATGAAAGTTTATTGTCGATTGTATACATACAGTATCATCGTTTCCGCTTTTACTTATTGTTATTTAATCGTTACTTAAGCAGAAATAGACAAATATTTAAAACTTTCATTAACTTAATTTCATAGCTTTCCCCTTTGCTTAAAAGTAATAAGTTAAGACATTGTAATAACTGCGTTTTAATAGTAACTATTATAACAACAGAAAATAAACTCGAAACAGTATATATTTTATGATTTTAAAATCTAATCACTAAGTAATCACCTTAGATTTGAGGAAGTCACAATAAAATAGAAATAGAAACGGATCTGAGAATCATTGCCAAAAAGTAATACTTGTTTCAAATTCCTGACGTTTAAGAACAGTTAGGGCCTGTCCCACTGGCTGGTAGAGCCTCAGATAGCTTAAAAATGACATCACTGTCAGATAAGGTGCCGAAACCGATATTTTCATCACATACTTTACACGTTTCATCGTTATCAGACAATTTACAATTTGGTGGGACAGTCCCATTTTTTAATAAATAATTTTTGATTTATTTTCTGTACATAATTAAAAACCCTTTTCTCGAAAGCAACAGCACTCATAAACAATTTTGCTTTAAGTAAAATCAGTAAGAAATGCAATAAAAATTCTATGTCAACAATTTTTACACCTCATTTGTACTTGTACGGCGATTCAAACAAACCTTGATTTTTCACGTTCAAGCTCCTTTATTCGCATAGTTGAAGTCACTTCTAGCAACTGGTTTCTTATTTGAAACAAGGTTGTGCATCTTGTTTTGATGTCGTAAAATACTTTGAAAACTATTTACATAGGAGTATTTTTTTAATTAACGTAGAGGTATGCAACTATGTACTTTAACTTGGAGTATTTAAGTCCTAAATTGGAAAACATTCTTTTAGAAATAACTGTTTACTTTTGACATATAAGATGTTGCTCGTGACTTCGCCCACGGGAAATTAAAAATGCAGCCTTTGTTTCACAGATAAATTTTAACATCGGCCCAGTAGTTTTTGAGTTATTTCAATACATACAAAAATATTGATCTTTATATGTATGTATCTGTATAGATTATCAATTGCTAATCTCTGAGACTGTCTACAGTCTACAATAAGGAAAACATCGTGTTGCAACCTGCATATACCGGCGAAGAAATTCAAAGATATGTGTGAAGTCAACCAACCCACACTTGGCCAGCGTGGTTGACTATGGCCTAGTCACCCTAATTTAGGGTAGACTCCGAACCTCTGGGGACGTATAGTGAGCTGGTGATGATGTAATGATTCATAAATTTGCTCACATGCCATACAAGTACATGTAGAAGTGTTTTTAAGGCTCTTAATTATAGAAAATTACAAATCTCGCGTATGATTAAGAAGTAACCTTTACAATGCTGTCAAACATTTCACGATTTCGCAAGGTTGACCTCAAACCGCAGATACTTCCTGCTCTGGTTTTACCTCGCACTTCAAGTTATTAAATAATTACTACTTTAATGAATAATTTAAGAACAACCATGACCAGGCGGCTGTCTAAACTGGTTTTAACAATCAAACAGGTTAAAACCAATAATCCTTAACTTAGACCTGAAGATTGTTTTAATTGATTCGTAAAAGAGAGTAAACTTAATCGATCTACTTTTACTACTTAGGGCCTGTTTCACCACTGGCTGATAGAGGCTCAGATAGCTTAAAAATGACGTTACTGTCCGAAAAAGAAACAAAACCCGATATTTCCACCATATATTTTACACGTTAGATTGTTATCAGACAATTTAAAATTTGGTGGGACAGACCCATAGATAAGTTAAATTTGAAAGGATTGAAAATTCACCTTTAATAATTGCTTCAGAAAAAAATATGCAACTCAAATATAGCATTTAACTTCTTACAGATGTTATCATATACAAGGCTGACTAGTGTTGCCAACGCCTTTATTAATGCGCATAGACAATAACAAATATATTCTCTGTCATAAGCGTAACATATCATATGGTATACAAGGTCGAGGTTGATCAGAAATACAACGATAAGTAGATCAATGCAGTAAGATAAATACAATGTCAATTTGAAAAGACATTTCGACAAGTAGCGATTTCATCTACACAATATTAAAATAAAAAAGTAAACTATAATATGCCCATCTATGTCAGCTACCCTTCAATGAAAGTCCGGTTGATATCAGCCCAGCCTCTTCGGAGATTACCAGGAACAAACGCGCCTTGCGGACAGACAGACATTTTTTTTAAATGCGATTTTCGTTATCATAATGCAAATACATCATATTCCCGAAATCAGGAATTTTTCTTTTGATATTACAAACAGACACTGCAATTTTATTATATGTATAGAATAATGGCTTTATTCTGTAAAACGTTAAATACAAAACACATTTTTTTGGCCTGAAATATAAATTATTACCACTCTAAATCCTGATTGTTGAGATAAAATTTATCAAAATAATTATTTTTATTTTTAGGTATGTAGAAATTCATACTACACATTTTTGTAGCATTCTTTATTTTTGTAGTGGCATTTATTTTTAGCAAATGGAGACATAAAATATAATATCGAAGTTAAAAAACTGGTCAAATTACGTACAATAGATAAATCTAGTACCGCTGGAATAAGCAGTCGACCTAGATATTTGAGATACATTACGATCTAAGAACCATTTACGGCAAACTTTTGTTTATTGCGCTATAAGTAAAGTTTGATGTTATTTATTGAGTTGTTTTAGATATTTCTTTGATTTTATTGCAACAAATTGAATAACATAACTCGGTCTAGCTAAGAGTCTGCAAAAAAATGCTTCAAATGTTTACTAAATGGACTGTCTATTTTTACAGATCACCATTTTACTTTGTGCTCTGTTTGCACTGATAGCGCTTACACTTGCGATACCTGATAGCGCTGGACAACCACCACTTCCCGGACCAGGCCTTTCTTATGGTAACAAATTATGCAACATCGATCTTGTTAAATTTAACAAATAAGATTCAATTAGTTGATAAAACTGATATTACTTTGTTAATGTCCTACTTTTTAATAATTTACCACAGATTGCATGTCTTTGATTAAAATCTGCAATGATATTAAAAAGCGCCATCTATTTGCTTATTAAGTAAAAAAAGTTAAAAACGTTTCGAGAAAGAAAAATGATAGTCTTCTGTTAGGATTAATTTTATATTGCTTGATCTTGATCTTACCCTTTTTAATGCATTTTATTATATTTCACTTTTATATTTAGTTAACTTTACAATGTTGGACAGTATAATTAAGTTTTTAATTATTATTTTTGTATTTTTCAGGTGGCATCCCCTACGGCAGTATGAGTGGTAACGTGGCAGAATATTTTAAACGACAAGCGCCATCTTTCGGCAGAGGAAGAATACTAAGCGCTGCGTCTCACGATGTCGACTACGCGCCAATCGAACAATGGCTATGATTTCATAAATCTTATTAGCTGTTTGAATATAATTAATGAAAAATGTCCTCAGTTTGTAAACATTTTGTTGGCTTAGTTTTTTACATTTTATGTGATTAAAAGAGAAAGAATTAAGACCTTGAAATTGGCGGTATTACAATTACAACTACATAGTCTTGTTTAGCGCCACAAGATGGCGTTGAATCCTAATTTATGAAAAAAGTTTTAAAATAACTCTTGATATTGTAAAAAAAAATTAAAATACATTAAATTTATCCAAGGACACCAGATTTCTGCGAAAACAAACAGTGTATAAATAACTTAAGGGTTTAGATATTTATTTTAGTTAATTGTTTAGTTAGTACTGTCACAAATAAAATAAGTTACCAACATTTTATTAATCTTATTGTAGTATAGTCCTTAAGCCCTTACTATGGAACCTTTCGTAGCTAAAACCTCTAATATAAAACTAGACAAATGTAAGATGTAGGCAAAATCTTCTTTTAAATTTGTCTTAGACCATCATTAAATGTTCGTACCATACCACAAGCATGTATTCAATACTTATTAGCAAAAAACAACCACGCCTTACCTACATACGTTAATTACAGTCTCAGAGGCATATTATCTTGTTGCGTAAGTGCATACGACAATACTCACCATTGTTAGTATTCAATTTATAGCTATACTGTCGAGAAAACTGGCGGTATTTTCTTTAAAACCTACATTCGTTTAAACATTTTGAAACGAGACAGTGAACAAAAACTATTACACAGATTATAAATAAGTATCCGTACGAAGAAAGTCGTTTATTAATAGACAGCTGGTTTCTTTATATTATCATCCCTTCGTTTGCACTAGGCAATTTTTCCTAAAGTTTAATAGCGCGTATTTCCGCGACTGTACCTTGTATGACTTTTTGCAATATCTACCTATCAAGGTCTTTGATGTGTGTATTCAAAAGGGCATTGTTTATTTACCTATCTATTAGCTAAATATTGTCCTCAAATAAAATGTTAGGATAAGTCTAATGTCCAAATACTGAGACGATTTTTAAATGTTCTGCTTCGTAAGGGCCGCTTGCAATCTGATAGACATTATAATTTTAAAGAAATTTGGATAGTATATATTTAAATGACGTTTCAGTATTTGGCCATAAGAAATTCTGTTTTTTTCTCTTCCTAGTAGTTAGAATTCTCCGGACAGTCATTGGACCTAATTTCTATGTTGTCTTTTGTTTTTTTAGAGTAGATAGTACCAGTTGAAGTATTATTAGCCCAGGGCGAGGGCTAAAGCTTTCTGTGAAGCGCCCAGGGCGGTCGCCCACCGCGCCCTACCCTTACACCGGCACTGATTAGAACTAAGGTTACCAATTTACGTTCAGCGTAAAACATCACTAAGGCCATAATACCCGATTAAACAAAGGTATTACATTCAAAAGTATACCATATGCCATCAGCATATGAGTGAAATTTGCATGAATTTCTGAAATATTTAATGTTACGCGTACCAATTCTATGTCCCTATTCTTCGAAGCACGACAATTGACCCTTTAGCGGATATCGCAAGGTGTTATATCAGGTAATGACATAAAATGCAACAGTTTCATAATAGACCTTTGTCATAGTCATAGTAAACTTTGCTTATTTTCTTATTGTAATAAGTTACGCGTCACAGGCGACGCGGAATGGGAATGTAGCGTTATATTTTTCTATTTCGTTTGTTTTTTCATCGTAACGTCTGCGTAAATTAATTATTGTAACAGTGGGCTTCCACTGCTGAAAGATTGTAAACTCATGTCATTAAATGACTCTTTTTCATCAAAGATAAGTTTCCTTATTGTCCATTGACGAGTATCTCTTCATAAATAATGTCCATTGAAGGCGCGTAGCTTCTGTGACGCAAATATAACATGACTTAGTCATAATAAGGGTGAGCACTTATCATGTAGCGGTAGCGATTTTATGAGAACAGCATTTAATTTGAACAGCACATGAATTTCGAAAGAGTAGACTTTTTAAAGAATACTTTTTACTAAAATGCAGTTCGTCGGTACTAGGATAATGCAAAATCCAGCAAGAGGAGAAAAAAAAAAGTGTATTTGTTGTGAAAGAAACTTGACCTGCAATGCGTGGAATACGGACATCACTACGTAAAATCTGAGTTATAAATGTTAAAATAATACTATTTTTTTTTATTATTCGCGATAACAATAACCTGTAGTACAGATCTCTACCTATAAGAGGAAGAGTCCCCAAAAAGTTGTGAAATTTTATAGAAGAGTAAAGCATTTTTCATTTTCACTATAGCCTCACCTTTAGGATACACCTGTCAATCTTATCCATTCCAGCCACGTGTCATTTTCGGTATATTCGAGCTTACGCCGTGACGTTTTGGGCAATGGAATGACAATTTCATTCAATGTCGCTATTCTTAGAAGGATAATCAGGTGTTAAGATAACGGTGTAGTTATAGGTATTTCCAATTAATTAAAACATCGCTTTTAGGACATCAATCTTGAAAATTAAAAAGTTAAAGTGGTAAAAGCGTAAGCAATGATTGGAGATGGAATTTATTTCGCTGTTAAACTTCAAAATATTGTCGCACAGTATGATATTAATTTTGTAATTTTTGTTACATTCCCGTACTATTGACAACGAACCTTGTATTTGAACAATGTAATTAGGCATCCGGTATATAGCCTGCGTAATTGACTTGTTCAAGGTTACAATTATTAGTGAGAGTATGATTTAACATCACATGAGTATTGTGCCATCCAAACTTTACCACAGCTCGATAGTTCAAACGAGACAATTCTTAATATAATAGTGGTAGTGCCCGCTTTAACATCTTAGCACTGCAGGGCCGGCACGCCCGGTGTAATACCACGACCACACAGAACAGGCGTCAAATGGAAGCATTTCCGTGTTTCGTTTGATGAGTGTGGTGCCGGAGACCTAATTTAAGTCCCTTTCTCTTTACTACGCTTTTCTTATAAGGAGAGGTTGGGAAGAGGAAGTGGATTTGACGGTGGAGGAGATGCATAGGAAGGGGAAATATCCTCTTTATGTGCGTCTCCTCCTCCGTCGTATAAGGGTAGGCAACGCATCTGCAATTGCGGATGTCTATGGGCAGCGGGCGCTTCGCCATTTTGGCGGTTTCAGGTGGTCGCTTGCTCGTTTGCCACCTTATGTTATAAAAAAAAAATCCAAACTTTACCACAGTTCGAAATTTCCCACGAAACAATTCTAGGTATAGCCAGTGAAGGGGTGTGAACGCGAGTCATACTTCTACGTTGACTTGCTTCGCAGTTGACAATTAGTACACGTTTCCGTTGACAGACATCTACGAGCTGCTATAAAGTTTGAGTCTTATAATACCTTTCATTATAAATAGATATCCAATAGAGGACCTCAGTTTGTGATTCCAAATATAACTTAACATTATATCAGAAAAATCTAACTCGTAACAAAATTACAGACGGAAACTAGACAACGGTAGTCGAGACGTAAGAACTTTTTTATTTCTTTTTTAATTCCTACGTCTTCGTAATCGGATATTTAAATTCGTTTCACTTAAACCTAATAAAGTCTACGTTAACTGTAGACTTAACTGTGAAATCAACATTGTGTCGATAGTTCCTTGTCTCATTGGCCGACAATGAACAATTGAAGTGTAATTGATTTTTGTCGTCACGGACAGTCTTACTAATATTTACTGTTTCCATTGTCGATATACTTGCTAGATTTTAATGCAATAGTCCTTATATGAGCACGCGCACTTTACCTAAACTTTTGCAAAACTGTTAAGTCTCGCTTTGATTCCTACGAGATTATATAGGGAAGGACACACTACTCGGTTTTTAGTTATTTTTAAACAGTTTAATTGGCTCCGAAACAATCGACAATCGCACAATAGTTTAGTCAAAGGTGTGATGTCGCTCTTAGAATCTAGGTGACATTTAAAAAAAGAATCACCGTTAATGTTTTCTATTTTAATCTTTTTCCTGTCTACAGTTTAAAGACGTATTACCATCGCTTGTTATGACGTTAAGGGCGCAGTCTCACTAGTCGTTAGCTCCCGTGTGGTGCGTGAGATTCCTGTTCACGAATGCAATAGCCATACATGCGAGAACCGTTCATATTAGCCTTTAGCTCCCGCATGCGTTAGGCGATAGTCATTTCTTTCCTTAAAGCGAGTGCACACCTTTGAGTAAACTATCGCAAAAGTATTGTACGATTGTCCATATAAGCTCTTAGGGATCAAAGCGCGACTAAACAGTTTTGCGATAGTTTAGTCTCAGGTGTGCGCGCGCTGCTATACTATGCTATGTTTGCTTTAGACCGAAAGATCATTACATTAGTCGTCCGTTAGTGATTCCCGCATACTATATAACCATGAAGTTATTGACTAATGGAATTGCTCCCTAATGTTAAACGTTTACTAGAAGCTGTACTTATCACGGTTAGTAATTTAGTTAACTATGTGTATAATTGGATTCTTTGAGTAAGGAATTCAATACTCTAACCGTAGATTTACCAGTGTCTTAAATGTGTTGAGTAAATCCATTAATTTAAATACCAGTTAAGTTGCACAGTGAGATGTTATATTGAACCATCAAATTCTTACTGTCTAAACAACACCAATTGACGAACAACCCTTTAATTATCTAAGAAGTACCATAACGTTGTCTTGCTATGGTCTAACACCATAGAGGTCATTGACACCGTCAAGGGAGCCGCCGAGCCGTGCCTAGGACGCGGCGGGCATATAAAATGCTGGCCAATACCATACGCCATCAGTCTGCAAAGATATTCGCGACAACATGGCTTTCAAAGTAAGTACCTTTTTACTCTTGTATATATTTTTCCCGAAATTTATTCTCCAATCTCAAGTCTTCAAAGTCAATTGGGAAGATATAATTTGTTAGGGAATAATTTTTCTCGTCAGAGACTATCAATATTAATTTTCTTACGTATTTTTAAATACTGTTTACGTTTAATCCAATCTCTAAATCATTTTTCTAACTAATAATTATGTTTTCATTTTTCTCTATATATGCATAATTAACAAATAAGATGTTGTAGTGTGACTCTAAGACTATATAAAAAAAAGTTACGCTGCATTCAGATTATTTTAATTAGATTCTTATTTGGACTAGCATTACTTTTTATAAATTGTATTCAGTTTTAAATAATAAACATAAGCTAAATTACTTGGTGGCTAATTTACTTGGTGCTGAAAAAAACCCGAAATACAAATCAGTTTGACGAATATTTAAGTATAATAACTTGCAAACAATAGTGAGAAGATATATATGGGAAACAAAACATTAGTATATTCTATGTTATTTCTGAGTACATAAATACTTGTCAAAGAAGGTGACAATCTTTGAAATATATTTCTTACTAGCTGTTCCCATGCGGCTTCATCCGCATGAAATTGTAAAAACTTTATTTTATAGTTTAGATTTGTCAAATTCTTAATTAGAATTGTCATAATACATTTGACCTTACTATAGCAATCTTGCTTTCTTGATGTTGGCAGCTACTTATGGTCTCTTTCCTATATTAGGGTTTTTATCCAAAACATTTACTCCTTAAATATAATGGCGTGAAAATATTTAGCCTAAGCGTTACGTAAGTGTAGGGCTTTTTATAAAAAAATGAGTTATTCTAAAATATAATGTAATTGACATCTTAGGCAACGAAATAGTGTGTGTTTACGCTTTATTATATTAGTATGGATTTTTGATTAACTAAAACTCCGTGTCTTAAGACCAATTAGGTATTTATGGATAATGATTGTTATACGATAAGAAAATATATTGTATAAATATATAATATATTGTATACGATAAGAAAATAGGCTTGTTATACTCACTATTATGTGTTCGTGTGAATTTCTCAGAATCGGTAAAGCCTGAATGACATGTGTATGGACATTTTTATTGTGTCGTTTCTTAGTAATTATGATGCAATATTATTACTATGCTTTTAGATAGTAGGGTTGCCGCATAGTAATAGTAATTCAAACATTTGTATTAAGTATGTTAGTGTTTGATTTACTGAAAGTATTGGTATTCTATACTATTATAATAAAGCGTAAACACACACTTCTTTGTTGCCTAAGATGTCAGCAATCACAGCATATTTTTAAATAATCCTTTTTTTAATAAAACGCCCTACACTTGCGTCACGCTTTAGGCTATATATTACGCCATTAAACTTAGGGGGTAAATATTTTGGATAAAAACCCTAATTTGGGAAAGAGACCAAACGTTGCTGCTAACAACAAGGAAGCAAGTTTGCCATGGTTTGTCATTTTGACATTTGCAATTGATAATTTTAAACATGTAAACAATAAAATAATTTTTTCATAATTTTATGCGGATGAAGTCGCATGGGGACAGCTAGTTTTTAGTGTAAAAATATTTCGTTTTTTCCAATCATCATAAAGCCCGCTACAGTTGTTCGTATACGATATTTTGAAATGAAGAAACGAATTTTAGTAAAATTATAACTATTAGTTTAACAAATCATTTAAATTTGTTCCTACATACGTATAGTTTTTATCTGAAAAGTTCAACTGTCAGTTAGAGATGAGCGTATGAAGCGTGTTTAAGGTATACGCTTCTAACTGTCCAGTAAAAACTATGCGTGTATTGTCACGACTACAAAAGAATAGTTCAACTGATAGTTAAAATTGTGCCAATATTCTGACTGCGCGTCTGCTACATCCGTAGCAGATTGCATCCGCAATAAAATATTTCTAGACGTTACGATTGCAAGATGTAATATTATTCCGTACTAAACATTCTTTTTGTTTTTTTCGCAGGGCACTTTTGTATTTTTCGCGCTACTTTTAGCTGTAACAGCTGCGCCAGCACCTGGAGACGTAGAACAGTTGGATACTGCAGCTCCTGAAAAGGGAGATCTGCAAGTCGCCGCGTCCCATTGGGGCGGACATTGGGGTGGTTACGGCGGCCATTGGGGCGACTGGGGAGGATATTATCCATACTACGGTGGATATTATTCGTATCCGTTCTACGGCCATGGGTATGGATACGGATGGCCGTATGGATATTATGGACATCATGGATATTGGTGGAAGTAATAAATACATTTGTAGTAGTAAGAAGATGCCAGTATTATTTTTAAGATCTTAAAAGCGATACTAATTTTATTTACAAAATATTTATTACCATGACAAGAACAAATACAAACGAATTTAGTGATACTGTAATATCGTCTTTTTGTTATTTTTTTTTTATAATTTTCTGAACTTAGATTTAAAAAGTTAACCATTTTTTTTAAATGCTTGCCCATTGTATTTAATTTTTAAATTATTTTTAGTTGAAAGTAAGTTATAGGTAATACTTTAATGATTTCAAAAATATATAATAATAAGTACATAGTTAAATAGTACACATAATACGTAAATAATTTAACTGTAAGTAGATATAGTAATAATATTATTAAAAAATAAACTGTACTAAGTTGTCTATTTCTTTTAACCTGCTCCTAATTCCTATTTTCACGTTTTTCATGTTTTACTCCATATCAATATAACAAAAGCATAATTCTTCATGCCTACTTACCTACTTTACGTTGTTAATTGCTCATAATATCACGGTTTTAAATCTTTTGTTTTGCTAAAACAAAATATTACTTTAGCACAAATGCTATTTAATTTCTACAGGCAAACATATTAAAAACTACAAACAAACTTTTCAATAATAACTAGATGTTATTTCAGTATTAGAAAAATTAAAACACATTTATCATACTAATCTTGACAAAGTGTGTACATAAAAATGTTAGTATATTGACTAGCAGTATAGAGAATTTAAAAAAAAAACTTAAAAAAAACATTCAGTTCTCGTTCTCATAAAGTGAAACTTTAAATTCTATCGTTTAAACTTTCGTGACACGTAAAATTATGAACTTCACCCACGTCAATTGTTGTATGCACACTAGAATTTGATATCCATATCTTTGAAGATAAGTTACGCAAATACATAACTATGTTTTAAAATGCATAAAGTAGAAATATCATATCTGAAAAAGATTTATTTGCATTATTATAATACCGCTTAAAAAATTTACATAAACCGATCAATTGATTAATTTTTCGAGTCAAGGTAGGCAGTATTTTGTATAAATAATTTGTTTTCTATGAAATACTTTATTTATAACTCAATTTATCTTACAACTAATATGTATTTAATTCTCTTTTGGAAGTCAACACATATACAATTTTATATTTATCTCCTACATAATTTATCAAAATCTGTTCTGGTATAATGTATCCATAAAGTATAACGCTGTGACTAAAGATTGTGGGATTTACATAAAACTCGACTTTACGAGTTTTTCCTCAAACGCCTGCTGAAATAATATAGCATTTTTTTCTAACCCTTGTTGCTAAAATATAAATACAGGCGTTTTTCACTGCAGTCTTAGTAAACATTAATCATCATTTATTAAATAAAATTATTATACACCATTCAAAAATAAAAGATAGGAACCAATAATAAGAGAATAAAATTCAACAAAGGTATTTGATAGTTCCATAGTACCTGTAGTTAAAGTAAGCAATGTTTTAAGATATTTTTCAAGTCACAATGATTACAACAAAAGTCAAAAATGTCGTATTAAAATTATTTACAGCGAAATAAATTCATGTGTCGATGCGCGTCGTATTCATTCGATTCGGGGTCGGCAGCGGCCTCGCTTCCGTAGAGGTCGCCCGCCTGACCTTTGTGCCATCTGCCAGCTTATGCTAGTGACACTGTTTGTCATCTTCATTTCCACTCATGACATCTATTTGATGTGCTCTATTCTGATATCTTTCGATACTTTATATTAAACCGAATTGATGACAAAAAAAATAACTTGAGAGTTTATTATGCACGAGCTTTAGTATGAGATTTACTCCGCTTGGAATTTTTAAAAAAAGTTGTTAGCATATGTGTATGTGTAGCCACACTATCCTCTACATTTGTGCCAAATTTTATCGAAATCTGATCAGCAGTTTAGACTACAAACTCTAACAAACATTCATTCGATCATCTAAACTATCGCATTTATAATATTACCAAGGAAATAAGAAGTGAGAACATCACATTATCAAATGGTTTTAGAATAGTCCCCGCTATGTACGACCTATTTCACAATCTTGCCCACTAATATGAATAATTTGACTTTTAAAGTTAAACGTTGTTCCAAGGCCCATTGGCGCCGAATACGTTGACACTTCGACTGCATTATTTTTATTACGCATTCTTTTAAAATAGCAAGTAACTTTATTACTATTATTATTTTATGTGATGGGGATGCAAACAAGCGGTTAGAACACCGAAGTGATCAACGACGCCCGGATACATCTGTAATACCAGAGGAACAACAAATATGTTGCCAGCCTTTGAGGAAATGGTAGGCTCGGTTCTTGAAGGACCGTTCCACAACGCGGCTGTGCGAGGTAGGAAATTTCGCGAAATCCGTATTGTTGTGGAATACCAGCCATCGAGATGGTCGCTACCAATAAATAGAATTAACAATAATAATTTCTATGCAAATGTTGAGAATGGAAAGAAGAATTTGCACATGTAAATGCAATTAAACTCCAATTAAAAGCAGCTTGCAGTCGTGGTATTTAGTTTTTATTAAATTTAGGACAATTTATATTAAGTTGCAGTTTTTTAATTGTCAAAGTTCGCGTTAGAAATAGTAGCTATTTCTAAAATCTTCTTCTATTATGAATATTCATTGATGCTCTTGATTGTTTAAATTATATTAACATAAGCCTACAATAAATTCTTAGTCGTTCTTGACACTGCACAATAATTGCCATTAATTTATTTCACGTTTACTGCCTTCTTATCTTAATTACATGTTTAGAATACATTTATATGTAAGTTAATTTCGGAATTTCAAAAGTAATGGACTGTCGTTTTAATCCATAAATAAGTATTTTTGCTTAATGTTCAATAGTAGCTTATAAATGTTTATACATGCACACCTTTGACTAAACTATCGCAAAGCAGTTGTGCGATTGTCGATTGTTTCGCAGCCCATTCAACTGTTTTCACAACTAGTTAACAGTGGTAGTGCCCGCTTTAACGTCTTAGCACTGAAGGGCCGGCACGCCCGGTGCAATACCACGACCACACAGAAGACAGGCGTGAAATGGAAACAATTCCGTGTTTCGTCTGATGAGTGTGGTGCCGGAGGCCTAATTTAAATCCTTTTCTCTTTAACACCCTTTTCTTATAAGGAGAGGATGGGTAGAGGAAGTGGATATAGCGGTGGATGAGATGCATAGGAAGGGGAAATATCCTCTTTATGTGCGTCTCCTCCTCCGTTAGATAAGGGTAGGCAACGCATCTTCAATTGCGGGTGTCCATTTGCAGCGGTCGCTTCGCAATTTTGGCGGGCTCAGTTGGTCGCTTGCTCGTTTGCCACGTTATGTTATAAAAAAAAACTAAAAACCGAGTAGTGTGCGCACCTTTATATAAGCTTATAGGACCAAAGCGAGACTAAAGTTCTGCGATAGTTTTATTTCAGTTGTGCGCTAGTGTCGCGTATTTTGAATAACTTAACGTCTTAAAAGAGCTACAAATTTGATACGATTAAAATACACACGATCACCTTTAACCTCATTATTTAATGTAATGTTTTATGTATAACTTACTAAAGAGACCTCTATGTAGAGTATTATATGAATTTTATTTAAATACATACATATTTTAGGCTCAAATTTGGTCCAGTTAATATTAATAGACCAAATTTGTCTTAATTACCGTTTTAAAAGTTAAACAATTATTAGTTGTAAACATTTACATCTTTTGAGCTATTATTTTCATTCTTATATTTGTTTTATTTGGTCACAGAATGGTTCAAATTTTCAGTTAACATCAATAACACCCAAGTTAAAATATTTCAACAACTAAGTATTACGTAACTTGATCTTGAACCTTTATGTTAATATGACAGCAATGGCATCCGCGATAGTTTCTGGCTGTAGCCTGCTGCGCAGCCTTCGTTATACAGCTGTCATATCACACGTATCTCTTAATAAACTAACGATACCTTCCGAATTTGATAATCGGAAAACATCCAACACTATATTTAACAAAAAAATACTCAAGAGTTTGTTTCAGAGACAGTTTTGTGTTTTAACGAATCTCAAGAATGGAATCGGTTTTAAAAAAGTGTTTAAAATATTTTTAAGGCTATTTTATATTTGATCAACAAACTTTAGGCTTTAGGCCTGAGGTATTTTGGAGGATATCTTAAAAGCATAGTAGATGATATTATAATATTCAAGTTAAGATCAAATGGAACCAGAGGTCAAGTAGAACTCTATCTTTTTATTCACCACACATTATAGGATGTGATTATTAAAATAAACATTGATGTTATTAATTTAATTGATTATAATAACTTGCTTTGATATATTTATGATCTAATTACGTACATTCTTATGAATTATTAACTTGTAATTGTTGTTTCTATACAATTTATAACAATAACATACATTGTTATGCATCCGTTGAAGTTAAATACAGATAATAAAATTGGAGTGTCTGTTTTTAAATGGTGTATTTGCGTTGCTGATAACTAAAATTGTTTAAAAAAATTGTTTGGCTGTCTGTCTGTCCGCAAACCGCGTTTGTTTCGGATAATCTTCGAAACGGCTGGGCCGATTTCGACGGGACTTTCGCTGGACGGTAGCTGACATGGATAGGCATATTATTGGTTACTTTTTTATTAATTACGTGCTGTCAAAATAGCGTAAAGGGTGGTCCGAATTTGCGCTAACGAAGTTTGCGGCCGACAGCTCGTTGGGGAATAAAGCTTTTGTGGATTCATCATAGTATAGAATTTTATTCTCTGTGGTAGTACTAATATCTGCTTATCTTTGGTTTAAAAATACCCGTAACAGAAATGCAATCAAAAAGTACACTTATAATAGTATTGATGTTGCATCAAAGTTTGAAATAAAGAAAATAATCTTTTACAAAACTGTGAATTGTGAAGTGAATTTTGAAACCGTAAATGAGAGTGGAAACTGTTTACATTTTATATGTTTGTTACAAACTTTTCTCCGAACCCGAATTTAGTGATTAACTTTTCCTTCGAACTCTGCTATTTTTAGTATGGATGAACATACTTTTTATTAAGATCTATCGAATAGTTTTTGAGATGTAGTTATTTTTTCAAAGCATGTATTGTAGAGCTTGTAAAAACACACGTCAGTAATCATTATAGAATTGGAATTCCAAGGGCAAATGTACAATCGTCACAGACGCGAAGTAATGAACACTCGACATCTTTATCGTGCATTAATATGTATGTTTACGCACATCCTGTATATTATACAGTATGTAATTAACTACGGTATGTACTATATGCATTTAAAATTGTTACTTTAAATATTAGAAATCGAAAGAAATCCACTACTCTATAAAAAAGAAAAATAACTCCA